ACTATTCCATCTCCGTAACATTCGTTTGCATTCCGATTGCATTTATTCTGGAACAAAGGACAGGAGGAGTCCACTCAGCCCCTGGAGACTGTTCTGCTGGTCTACAATTTCATGGTTGATCTGTATCTCAACTCTAACTGCCTGCCCTTGCCACACATCTTGTGAACATGGGAACAGGAGGAGGCCATTCAGCCTGTTCCGCCATTCTATAAGACTGTGGCTGATCTGTATCTCAACTCTAATTACCCACCATTGGCCCATATCCCTTGATACCCGGACCTGACAAACATCTACCCACCTCAGCCTTGAAAACCTGAATGGATTCAGCATCCACAGCTTTTTGGGGGAAGAGAGTTCCAGATTCTCACAACCCTTTTGGTGAAAAACTACCTCTTGATTTCACTCCTAAATGGCCTGGCTCTAATTTTAAAGATGATGTCCCCCCCCTTGTTCTGGATTGCCCCACCCAGAGGAAATAGTTTCTCTGTATCTACCCTATCGAATCCCTTTATTATTTAAAAAACCTCAATCAGATCACTCCTCAACCTGCTAAAGTCGAGGGCATAGAGGCCAACTTTATGCCCCCAGACCTCATAATTTAACCCTTTAAGCTGTAGTATCATTCTGGTGAATCTGCACTGGACCCCCTTCCATTATCTTTTGGAATTTCTCTTTAAGGTACGTGTCCGTGCCGATGAGAATTCACCTCCACTTCAGGGTGGATGTCAGGGCTGCAGAGAAGGTGAGAGGAGATAATAATAATAATAATAATAATAATAATAATCCTCGCATTTGATATAGCGCTTTTCACGTCGGGAGGACGTCCCAAAGCGCTTCACAGAAGACACTGTAAAGTGAATTGACTGTATATTTGTGGGCGAACGCGGCAGCCAATTGCGCACAGCAATGTCCCACCAACAGTTGTAGATTGAAAATGACCAATTTATTATTGTTTTTGGTTTTGGAGGGAATATTATTAGGCTCTGTGTGGCGTAAGGAAACTTGCCCAAGGTTTCCCCCTCTGCCTGGAATTGAACTCAGGTCTCTCGCTTGCAAAGCGAGTGCTGTAACTGAGGTACAGGACTCCACAGTTTACTGGGCTGAGACTGGTGGGCAAGGGGTTTGAGCAGAGACTGGAGGAAGCGGAGAGTTGACAGTGGAACAGAAAGGGCTGATCGGAGCTGAACGAGAGAGAAAGTGAGCATTCCATTTCCATTCCAACAACCTATCCCTCTCTGGGATTCCATGTGCAGGTGGGATGTGTGGTATTCTCGTCTCGGTTTGGATACTCGAGCACAGTGATGGATTTCCAGATGTGTCAGAACCGTCAAAAACACAGAAAAGTGTATGTTGGGGTGGGGGGTGGGCAGGTGAACAGGACTGAAATGATTTCAGCACAGATACGATGGGCCAAATGGCTCTAAATTTGTGTAAGTGTGTGTATGTGTGTGTGTGCCGGTGTGTGTGTGTTGGTGGTTGTGTGTGTGTGTCGGTGTGTGTGTGTTGGTGAGTGTGTGTGCGCGTGTGTGTCGGTGAGCACGCGTGTGTGTGTCGGTGAGCGCGTGTGTGTGTCGGTGAGCGCGTGTGTGTGTCGGTGAGTGTGTGTGTGTATCGGTGAGTTGGTGAGTGTGTGTGTGTATCAGTGAGTTTGAGTGTGTGTTGGTGAATGTGTGTGTGTTGGTGAATGTGTGTGTCGGTGAATGTGTGTGTGTCGGTGAATGTGTGTGTGTCGGTGAGTGTGTGTGTGTCGGTGAGTGTGTGTGTGTGTCGGTGAATGTGTGTGTGTGTCGGTGAGTGTGTGTGTGTGTCGGTGAGTGTGTGTGTGTGTGTCGGTGAGTGTGTGTGTGTCGGTGAGTGTGTGTGTGTCGGTGAGTGTGTGTGTGTCGGTGAGTGTGTCGGTGTGTGTGTGTGTGTGTGTCGGTGAGTGTGTCGGTGTGTCGGTGAGTGTGTGTGTGTGTCGGTGAGTGTGTGTGTGTGTCGGTGAGTGTGTGTGTGTGTGTCGGTGAGTGTGTGTGTGTGTGTCGGTGAGTGTGTGTGTGTGTGTCGGTGAGTGTGTGTGTGTGTCGGTGAGTGTGTGTGTGTGTGTCGGTGAGTGTGTGTGTGTGTGTGTCGGTGAGTGTGTGTGTGTCGGTGGTGTGTGTGTCGGTGAGTGTGTGTGTGTGTGTGTGTCGGTGAGTGGTGTGTGTGTGTGTGTGTCGGTGAGTGGTGTGTGTGTGTGTCGGTGAGTGTGTGTGTGTGTGTCGGTGAGTGTGTGTGTGTGTGTCGGTGAATGTGTGTGTGTGTGTGTCGGTGGATGTGTGTGTGTGTCGGTGGATGTGTGTGTGTGTCGGTGGATGTGTGTGTGTGTCGGTGGATGTGTGTGTGTGTCGGTGGATGTGTGTGTGTGTCGGTGGATGTGTGTGTGTGTCGGTGGATGTGTGTGTGTGTGTCGGTGGATGTGTGTGTATCGGTGGATGTGTGTGTCGGTGTGTGTGTGTCGGTGTGTGTGTGTGTGTGTCGGTGAATGTGTGTGTGTCGGTGAATGTGTGTGTAGGTGAATGTGTGTGTGGTGTCGGTGGATGTGTGTGCCGGTGAGGAGGGGGCGTGCCAATGATGAGCAGGCGTCCCAGCGAGCGTGAGCATGTGTGTGTGTGCGCGCCAGTTTGGATGAGTGTGCGAGTGGGTATGGGCGTATGTGTGTGTGTGTATATTACCATATATTGGGGTCGTGTGTGCTCTCAGTTTCAGGCTGATGCTCAGTCAGTCACTGACTGTAAACATACAGAGTAACTGTAGACCTATAGAGTCTTTTCCAGTCAAGCGTGTGTCACACCTTGTGACTCTCGCTCGCTATCTCCTCCTCACTGTTAACTGGAACTGGCTGACGTCTGCAAGGAAAGTCCCTGTGCTCGCAGGGCCCCAGAACAGTTCTCGATGAAAGAGGAAATGAATATTCGTTGGCAGATTAATGCGTTCTCCCCATCGCCGGGTTAACCCTGCGTTCAGGTGACAGAGGAAAAACAGTGACCGGAAACTCCGGTGACCACGCAACTCATTTTTCCAAAGCAGTACTAGATTTGAGGACGTTCCGTATTCACGTCCTGTCGCTTTTAGTGGTTAGAGCGCGCACGCCTCGCCAGCCAGACGACCTGGGTTGGATTCCTACGCAGGGCGAAATCTTAGCCAAGATTCCTTACTCCACACGCCACCCCGTTTGCTTAGCATAACAATAAGTAGGGATCTGGTGGTGAGTCGACTGGCAGACCACTTTCTGGTGGTGATAATCCCTTCTCAGTAAAATTAATAAAAAAAAAAAATCCGGTCGCTCAATCCACGGCTGTTTATGGACACTGCTGTGCGCGATCGGCTGCCGCGTTTCGGGTCGGAGAGACGTGCTGAGAGAGAGAGAGAGCTTTTAGCAGCTGCATTCTCTTTGCTGCCTGTGTTGAGATGCTCCCCTCCCTTGCCCTGAGCTGTCTTCCAAGCCGGGGTGATTAACAGCAGGCGTAATCTCCAGGAAATACTCCCCAAACTCTCCTGAGTCATAATCCACCTCGAAACCGTTCTAGAAATACTCAGTCTAGTGTGGCAGTGTTTCAGTATCTCCGGGGTCACTTACTCAGCAAATAGCTGAGCCGTACACTTCTCAGTTTCCCCCACACCCCCACACTTTGCGCTCGCACCCCTACTGGAGCTTTGCACTGTAATCCTGTGCCTGAGTGATGTTAATTCCCTTCTGGGCTGAGTAAGATCACACTGTGACTCTTCCCAAACTCATTTTACACACATGTCCTGGCCAGCAATGCCTCCTTCCCTTAATAAACTGGTCGTTCACTTCACTGGAATTTACCAATTAGCTTTGAGAAATACTTAACTCACTGAGCTTTACAACGCAGCCTGTGAAGCACTTTGAGATGGTTTGACCATACAACAGCAGCAGCAACTACAACAACTTGCATTTTCTTCAGCACCCTCCAGGCTAAGCAGTGGTGGAATTTGACGCCGGGGGGGGGCGGTAGGGAATGGGGTTGGTGATCGTGGGGCACGGTTGTACAGGGCAATGTGATCTGCCGACAGGTGAAAAGGGTAGTGGGGGCCGGGGGGGGGATGGCGAGGCTAGAGATTGAAGCACAGAGCTTCGGGGTAATCTGAATATAATAATAATAATAATCCTCGCATTTGATACAGCGCTTTTCACGTCGGGGGGACGTCCCAAAGCACTTCACAGAACACACTGTAAAGTGAATTGACTGTTTATTTGTGGGCGAACGCGGCAGCCAATTGCGCACAGCAATGTCCCACAAACAGTCGTAGATTGAAAATGACCAATTTATTATTGTTTTTGGTTTTGGAGGGATTATTATTAGGCTCTGTGTGTAGTAAGGAAACTTGCCCAAGGTTTCGCCCTCTGCCTGGAATTGAACTCGGGTCTCTCACTTACAAAGCGAGTGCTCTAACCACTGAGCTACAGGACTCCACTAGCGTAAAATGGCGTAAAAACAGACGTCGCTAGGAACGCAGCAGGTCAGGCAGCATCTACGGAGAGAGAGGGAAGGGGAAGTGAGTTAATGTTTCAGGTCAGTTATTCTGAAGATCCACTGGGCGGAAAGAGTGTGGTTGGGCGGAAAGAGATGGTTAATGTGGAGTCCTGCTGAGCAGTGGTTAGCTCGCTCGCCTCGCAAGGTGGGAGGACAGTAGATGATGAGATGACAGAGGTGTTGATGGTGCAAGACCAAAGAGGGCAATATTGGGAGATTAAAGAAAGAAACTAATAATAATAATAATCCTTGCATTTGATATAGCACCTTATCGTGTCTTCGAGACGTCTCAAAGCGCTTCACGGAATATAATTTAAAGTGATTTGACTGTATTTTGTGGGTGAAACACGGCAGCCAATTGCTCACAGCAGTGGATTGAATGGCAGGTTACTGGGGATATTCTACCCTCACCCCCGCCCCCCCCCCCCCCACCTCGACTCTTCCGTTGACATTGATGGCTCTTTGTGTGTGTGTGTGTAATAGGACCTCCATGTAAGTGGAGCTGGTTCATGGAATTCTGTATGAAGAGGAAGAAGATGACCAAGCTGGCGTTGCTGTTGTCGGGGCCGGAGCATGGGCTGGAGCTCCAGCTCTATGTGTCCGACGTCCCCATCCGGTACCTGGCCGGCGAGTACGTGGCCGAGGATCTGTGCATCGAGGCGGCCAAGAAATGCGGTGAGTTTCCATCTCAGTCTCTCACACCTGAGTCCTCGCACCGGCTGGCCCAGGCCTGAACAACCAGCGGGGGAAGCTAGCCGGGCGGTGGTGGCGGGGGGCGCGGTTGGGTTGCAATTCTATCAGGGTCTAGGCAGATACCAGCCTGGCTCAGTCTGCGCTACACTACTTCAGTGAGCGAGTCGTACATGGTGGAAGCAGAAAGAGTTGATTCTTTCAAGAACAACTTTGATAGATTTCTGGTAGGAAATAATATCAGGGGAGACGGCATATAGTTTGGGACACGACATGGCTGCCAGGATAGTGGTAGGTGAACTGGATGGACCTTGGTCTTCTTTTGCCTAGGCAGTTCTTATGCCAGGGCTCTCGCATCAGGAGGCGAGAGCGCTGGCATAAGACGTTAATCAGCCAAGGCTATCTGTGCCCAATTGAAGTGGACAGTTTTCCCCGCCATGCGGTTCTGAAAAGAGAAGCGAGTTTCTCTCTGTCTCAGTGTTCTGGTCTAACAATTCCCCAATTGATCATTTGCTTAACAGCCGTTTGATGAGAAATGACTGTGCACAAGTTGGCTGCGTATTTTCACTATATCAAATGGAAGGATTATTATTATTAAATTTGAAGACTCTATTGTCTCGCTGTCTGAGACTGGGGCTGGGGGGGGGGAATTTGGGGCCTTGTGTCTCCTTGTTGCTTGCCCCTTCACGTGTGAAGCCTGGCAGCCAGTCACAGGGTATTCGAGTGGCGGGCAGGCAGTTGGGAGTGGGGTGGGGAGCTTCGGTTGGTGAAGGAGAACTCGTTCCTGTTTTGAGGGGAGGGGGAGGTTACTGCTTACTGGTGCAGTGATGGACGTTGCTGCTCTCTCTCTCTCGCCAGGCGTCTCTCCACTATGTCAGAATCTCTTCGCCCTGTACGATCCCGTCCAGCGGCTCTGGGTTCCTCCCAATCACCTCTTCAAGGTGGACGAGAGCACGGCTCTGATATTACATTACCGCATGAGGTAAGCGTCTTAGCCCAGAGCAGTGGACTCCAGGTTTGGCCTGACTGCAGCTGGACACTGAGAGAGCGAGGTCTGGAATGGGTGGGATGTGGGGTGGGGTGGGGGGAGGGTGTCTAGCCTGGGTACAGTGGGACGGGTAGGGTCTGGAGGTGGGCGGGCTCTGAATGTGCACGGAGTCTGAGGACGGGCGGGCTCTGAGGGCAGGTGGGCTCTGAGGGCGGGCGGGGTCTGAGGGTGGGGTCTGGGGGCAGGAGTGGTCTGAGGGCGAGGTCTGGGGGCAGACGGGCTCTGGGGGCGGGTGGGGTCTGGTGTGGGCGTGGTCCGTGACCCCTGGTCACCCTTTGCTCCATCCCCTCAGGTTCTTCTTCTATAACTGGCACGGCTCCAACGAGAATGAGCCTCCTGTCTGGCGCTACTCTCCCGTCAGGAAAACTAGGAATGGATACAACTCCAAGAGTGTGGAGGATGGGACTCCACTGCTGGACGCCAATTCCTTGGAGTACCTATTTGCCCAGGTAGGCACGTCAGGCGGGCGGGCAGACGGGAGCAACAGAAGAAAACGGGCAGGGCGTATTTAATATGTAAATCTAGCGAAAATACATCTGTGGTTGCAAATTGCTCCTATTTGCAGCCATTATACCACTGTGTGGCCATTCTTCCTGCATTTTTTACCACACTCGCCTCATCTTGGGTGTTGCCTGAGAATTGTGACACCACACCTCCCTTATCTAAGTCCAAGTCATTTATTTCTAACATTTATGATAATGGGTGTTGAATTGTGCTTCACAACAGTTTGAAAAAGCCTCTTCATTTATTACAATTAGTGTGCCATTTTAAAAAAAAAAGCTTCTTGGCAGTGGTTTCTTGATTTAATATTAAAAATAATTGTTGCATCTGATATAGCGCCTTATCACGTCATCGAAGCGTCTCACAGCGTAGACTGTAAAGTGAATTGATTGCATATTTTGTGGGTTGGCACATTTCTTCCCAAATGCTTGTTTAAACTTAGTACTGTCTTCTAACTAACTGATTTCTTTTCCAATTTGGACAAAAAATATACATTTTTTTCCCCCACACCTTCAGTATTTTGTTGATCAATTGTAATGTGTGCTCCTTCGAAATAATAACCTTTGTTTTGTAGCCCCCAAATTAGGGCATCCGTTTATTTTTTTCTGGAGTAACAATCCCTTCCATAAAAAATTGTTATCTTAACAAAAAAATGTGGTCACTCAACCCACAGCTATTTGTGGGACATTGCTGTGCCCATTCCTATCAGCCTGAGAAGATGCCCTTATTCCCTACTCTTTGCTCTCAGTTTCCTAACCATTCCTTAATTCATTCTGCCACCACGATCCCTGACGTCAGCTGTGAGCCTCTCGTGAGGCACTTTACCAAAGGCCTTGCGGTGAGGGGAAAGTGTGTGGTAATGGCACAGGCTGAGATGAGGGAGGGAGGGAGTGAGTGAGTGAGTGTGGGGCAGGTTGACACAGTGTGTGTGTTGTGCTCACAGGGCCAGTATGAACTGATCAAAGGCCTGGCTCCCGTGCGAGATTCCAAAACCGAGAACGAGTTCCACGAGATTGAGAACGAGTGTCTGGGGATGGCGGTGCTCGCCATGACACACGAGGCCCTCCGGCTCAAGATCCCGCTTCAGGAGATCTCCAAGGAGATGAGGTGAGAGCGCTGGAGAAGGTGGGAGTGACAGGGAGGGGTGGGGGTGGGGTGGGGCGCGGGGAGGGACAAAGAGACAGAGAAGACGCCAGAAAGACAGCAACAAATTGCATTTACACAGCGCCTTTCACGTCGTGGGGGAACCCACTGGCCCATTAGGGTCTGTACCTGAGCTGCGGTTTGGATCAGAGAGCGGGGTGAAGGGTGGGAAGATGACCAGAGACAGAGAGAGGGGAGGGTGGAGGGATTATGGGAGGGAGTTCCACCGGTTTGGAGTGCAGTCACTGGTGGTTTGTGCATATGGGAGGGTGGGACGAGAGCTCAGTCCCGGGGGTCCTGAGATTATAATAGTAGTAACATAACATGTAGGAGCAGGAGTAGGCCATTCGGCCCTTCGAGACTGCCCCGCCATTCAATCATGGCTGATCTTCTAATCTAACTCCAGCTGATAACCTGACGCTGCCTTATCCCCATATCCCTTAATCACTTTTGCAATAAGAAATCTATCCATCTCAGTCTTGAATATGTTCAAGGACTGAGCGTCAACAGCCCTTTGGGGTAGTGAGTTCCATACATTCACCACCCTTTGAGTGAAGAAGTTCTTCCTCAACTCAGAGCGAAAGGGCTGCCTCTGATTTTAAGGTTGTGACCCCTGGTTTTAGTTTCTCCAACCGGGGAAACAATCTCCCACTATCTACTCTATCTGCCCTTTGATGATCTTATAGGTTTCTATAAGATCCCCTCTAATTCTTCTATATTCTAGAGAATATAGTCCCAAATTGGTCAGCCTATCCTTGTAACTCATCCCCTTCATCCCTGGTACTAACCGAGTAAATCTACGCTGCACCCCCTCCAAGGCAAGTACATCCTTCCTTAAATGAGGAGACCAAAACTGCACAGAGTATTCCAGGTGTGGTGTCACCAGGGCCCTATACAGTTGCAGCAAGACTTCCCTACTCTTATACTCTAATCCTTTCATAATGAAGGCTAACATAACGTTCGCCTTCCTAACTGCTGCTGCACCTGCAAACTAACTTTCTGTTGATTGGTGTACAAGGACATCCAAGTCCCTCTGGACGCTAACACATTCGTAATTAAATTTGCATTTGATACAGCGCCTTATCACGTCTTTGAGATGTCTCAAAGTGCTTGACAGACTGTAAAGTGTAGTGACTGTGTAACTTGCCACCCTCCAGTTACAAGCAGTACATTCCGGAGGCTCTGAATCGTCGCATCAGACAGCGTAACTTCCTGACCCGTTGTCGGATCAACAACGTGTTCAAGAGCTTCTTGAAGGAGTTCAACAACAGAACCGTGTCCGACAGCAGAGTCTCCCCCCACGACCTGAAGGTCAAGTACCTGGCCACACTGGAGTCTCTGACTAAGCACTTCGGTGAGGAGATCTACAAGGCCACCAGCCTGCTGGTGTGCGTGGAGAGCGAGGCCGTGACAGCCGGTCAGTACCAGCCCGTGGAGAAGGAGCAGAAGGAGAGAGAGTACGAGGTGATGGTCACAGGAGGAGCGGGCATCAAATGGAGACGTGTTACCAACGAGGTGAGAGGGCCTGGGGCTGTCACCCTCATAGAATCTTAACAGCACAGAAGGAGGCCATTCAGCCCATCGTGCCTGTGCTGGCTCTGTGAAAGAGTTTTCAACTAGACTTATCTCTTACCTGCGCAGTTGTTCTTTTTTTCTTTGGAACCTACCATTGAATCTTCTTTCTCTCTTATTACTTCTTAGTCGCATAACTTGGTGGTTAGCGCACTCACTTCACAAGCGAGAGGACCCGGGTTCAACTCCCAGGCAGGGCATAACCTTAGGCAAGCGTCCTTACTCCACAAGCCTCTGTTTACCTAGTAGCAAGTAAGAACCCTGTTGTTAGTCGATTGGCGGATCCCTTCAAATATGTAAGTTAGTCACTCAATAGTTACTCAGTCCACAGTGTTTGTGGGACACTGCTGTGCAATTGGTTGCTGGGTTTCAGCCACAAAAATATACAGTCAATTCACGTCCAGCATATCCTGTGAAACGCTTTGGGACGTCTCACCGACATGATAAGGCGCTATGTCATAGAATTATACAGCACAGAAAGGAGGCCATTCGGCCTATTGTGCCTGTGTCGGCGCTTTTAAGAGAGCTACCCAAATCAATCCCACTCCCCTGCGCTCTCCCCCATAGCCCTGCAAGCATGTCTGAAAGCCCGGCCACCGATGGTAGGGCGGGTCAGGTGGGAGACATGGAGCAGGCCGGAGCCTGATGAATGGAGGAAGCGGGCAGGTTGGTAGGGAGTCAGCAGGTCAGAGAGGTAGGAGTGGGCAAGACTTAAAGGATCTTGAACTCAATCCTCTGGGGGATGGGGAGCCAGTGGAGTCGGGGGGTGAAGGGGTCAAGGAGCCTGGTGCATGAGAGGACACGAGCTGCAGAGTTTGGGATGATCTGCAGCTTGTGAAGGGAGGAGTTGGGATGGCCGATGAGGAGGGAGTTCCCGTAATCGAGCCTTGAGGTGACATGGCTTCAAGCATTGGCGATCCAGTCACTCTCCCTTACCGTCGGGCACTAAGGATGGACTCTTCCCACCTCTGCCCCCAACCTACTCCCAGCTGTTGACTGTGCTGGTCTCAGTTATTGGCTGAGTGCCTGCTCGTGCTAATCTCACTCACTCTGCTTCAAGATATGAAGTTGCTGTATTTTGTTTACGCTGGGACCACTTCCTCTTTCTAACCAAATGTTCAAGCGCACGAGATGTGAGTGAGAGAGAGAGAGAGAGAGAGCGAGCAAGAGATAGGACACACTGAGACAAGGAGAGAGAAAGAAAGAGAGAAACGGTACACACTGAGACAACAACAACAACAAAATTACACTGTATAGCACCTTTCATGTCGGGAAAACGTCCCAAGGCCCTGGACAATCATTGACCAGAGCTGGCGGTCGAGATCAGGGAGGGTGGAGGGCCGGGGTGGGGGAACCAAAGTTACGGTCGAAGAGGAGGGTCTTGAGACAGGCCTTGAAGCCCCCTTCAAGGGCGGGAGCGCGGCAGAGGGGCTGCGGGATGGAGTTCCAGAGGGTGGGGGCAGCGAGGCTGAAGGCCCGCCCACCAATGGTGGTGCAGGCGAGGCGAGGGACGTGAAGCAGGCCGGAGCCCGCTGAGTGGAGGGAGTGGGCAGGTTGGTAAGGGTTTAGGAGGTCACAGAGGTAGGGGGGAGCAAGGCCATGGAGGGTTTTGAAGGTGAGGACCAGGAACTTGAACTATACCCTCTGTGTGATGGAAAGCCAGTGGAGTCGGCCGAGGATGGGGGCGATGGGGTCGTGGAGCCTGGTGCGGGAGAGGACACGGGCTGCAGAGTTCTGGATGATCTGCAGCCTTTGGAGGGAGGAGTTGTGAAGGCCGACAAGCAGGGAGTTTGCGTGGTCGAGCCTGGATGTTATGAATGTGTGGATGAGGGTCTTGGTGGCCTGCAGCGTGAGACAGTGGCGGAGCCGAGCGAAGTTGCGGAGGTGGGGGAAGGCGGAGCTTCATGGCACGGATGTGGGGTAGAAAGGATAGTTGAGGGTTGAACAGGACCCTGAGGTTCCGTATTGGCTCCGTGAGATGTACATCCATGGAGGGAGGGAGATGCTGCCAGCGATCGAGGTATGGAGGCGCTGACGAGAGTCAAGCAGAAGGGGCTCGGTCTTGTTGATGTTCAACTGCAGGACTCTCAGCCAAGACTTGATGTCCAATAGACGTTCTGAAATTGAGGGTGGAGGCAGAGCAGTAGAGTTGGGTGTCATCTGCATACTTGTGGAAGTTGACCACATGTCTGCAGATAATGTCACCAAGGGGGAGATTATCTTACTATAAAATATGTAGCTATTGAAAAGGAGAGGGCCAAGGACAGAGCCCTGAGGTACTCCACACAGGACACTGTGTGGGCTGGAGGGGAAGCCGTTAGTGCGACAAAATGGAGACGGTGGGAGAGGTGGGGATCGAACCAGGCAAGGGCAGGTCCGCGAAGATTGAGCTGAGAGGAGAGGCAGTGTAGGAGGATAGAATGTTCGACAGTGTCGAACGCGGCAGAGAGGTTGAGGAAGACGAGGAGACGGAGAGAGACCTGGTCACAGCTGTTCAGAAAGTTGCCTGGAAACCCGATTGGAGTTCTTCACAGAGGGAATGGCGGGAATGTCTGGGATGTGATGACTCGTTTCAGGGCCTTGGAGAGGGAGATTGGAGATGGGGCGATCGCTGGAGAGTAGGGATGGGTTTTTTGAGACGGGAAGAAAGAGATAGAGAGCTAGATAAGTGTGTGCACACTGAGACACAAGTTTGTGATAATAACAATAATAATAATCCTTGCATAATTCCTGCAGGAGGGCGTCTTAAAGCGTTTCCCAGGAGTTACTGTACATGTCGTAAATTTTGAGTGACTGTGTACTCTGTAGGCAAATGTGACAGCCAATTTGCACACAGCAATGCCCTTGTAAACAGCCATGAAGTCAAGTGAGTGAATTTTATTTGGGGAATTCTCAGCTGGGACACCACAAGAGAGAAACTCCCTTCTCTTTTCCCGGCGATCTGTAACAGGAGACAATGGGGAGTGTGGTTTTAACGAGTCCTGTAGTGTAGTGGTTGGAGCGTTCGCCTCGCAAGCGGGAAGACCCGGGTTCAATTCCCAGGCAGGACGAAACCTTAGGCAAGTTTCTTTACTCCACACGTCTGTTTACCTTGCAGTAAGTAGGAACCCAGTTGTTAGTCGATTGGCGGATTGCTTTCTGGGGGTGATAATACCTCCCTCCCACAAAATAATAATAATTTGGTCACTCAGTCCACAATTCACTTTACAGCATATCCTGTGAAGCGTTTTGAGACGTCTCAACGACGTGATAATTCGCTATATCAAATGCAAAGATGATTATTATTAAAATTTTGACTATGTAGCGCACTCCACGCGCCCTCCCCCTCCCCCCTCCCGCTGGAGTGTCCTGGCTGACAATCCTCCAGTTGAGTTGGTGATGATTGTGTGATGGTAACAACATCTTTTCCTTGGGGTTGAAGCCGGTGGTGAACAACAAGGAGAAAGTGAAGAGCAAGAAAGGGAAGAGCGGGGGGAAGAGTGTGCGGAGCCCGGACACCAAGTCCTCCAGTGAGACCTGGACCATCTTCTCGGACTTCTTCGAGATCACTCACATCGTCATCAAGGATTGTATCGTCAGCATCAACAAGCAGGACAACAGGAAAATGGTGAGCTCTTACTCTCTCCTTCCCTCCTCCTCTCCTCTTCCTTCTCTCATCCTTCCTCTCTCTTTCCCTCCTTGTCCCTCCTTTCCTCTCTTTCCCTCTTTCTCTCCTCTCTTTCTCTCCTTCCCTCTCCTCTCTCCTTCCCTGCTCCTCTCTCCTTCCCTCCTCCTTCCTTCCTCTAGCCTTCCCTCCTTCTCCCCTTCTCTCTCTTTGCTCCTCTCTACTCCTCTCTCTCCTTCCCTTCTCTGCTCTGCCCTCCTCTTTTCCATCCTTCTCTCATTTCCCCCCTCTCTCCTTCCCTCCTGTCTGCTCCACTCTCCCTGTCTCCTCTCCTCTCCTTCCATTCTCTTGCCAAGTGAGGATGGTGGTTACTCTGTGTATGTGTTGCAGGAGGTGACAATGGCCAGTTACACTGAGGCTCTGTCCCTGGTCTCCCTTATTGACGGCTATTTCAGGCTGACGGTTGACGCTCACCATTACCTGTGCACAGAGGTGGCCCCGCCTTTGGTTGTCCACAACATTAAAAATGGCTGCCACGGACCCATAAGGTAATCCCCTCTCCTCTCCTCGCACTCCTCACCCTACCACATAGTCCACAATATCCTAGTAAATATAAGAATAATTATAATAATCTATAATAGTTATTATGCTCATAATCTTTGCACTCGATGCGTGGCCTTGTCGCGACACCTCAAAGGGCTTCACAGGATTTACTGTAAGGTGTAGTGACTATGTATTTTGTGGTTGAAACACGGCAGCCAATCTGCACACAGCGACGTTCTGCCAACAGCCATGCAGTGAATGAGGGATTTTATCTCCCTCTATCCCTCGGCCTTGACTCCACCTCCCCCACCCCCCCCCCACCCTCAGGTCACGCCCGAAGACCATTCTCTTCGACCGTCGTGCTCTGCCACTGTCGAGCGCTCCGGCACTCTATCCTGCGCGACGGGCATTGTGTAGATGCGAGTACTCGTTGTGGTTCGTCTGTGGCTGCCGAGGTGTGATTGCTGGAGGTGATCATTTGTTTGGTTTGTTCGTGGAGTCCTATAGCTCAGTGGTTAGCGCGAAAATGTTAGTTAAGTTTCCTTACTCCACGTGCCTCTGTTTACCGAGCAATAAGTAGGAACCCGGTTGCTAGTCGATTGGGGGATGGCTTTTCCAGGGGTAATAATCCCTTCAAAAAAAAATAATAATAACTTGGTCACTTAATCCGTTCGTGGGACGCTGCTGTGCGCAATTGGCTGCCGCGACTCGCCCGCAAATATACAGTCAATTCACTTGACAGTATAATCCTGTGAAGCATTTGAGACGTCTCAGGCGCTGACTGCATCGAGTGCGAGGAGTGCTATTACTTGAAGGACGGGGAACCTATTTTGTGTTTGTGTTTAGGACGGAATACGCCATCGCCAAACTCAAGCTGGAGGGTAACGAGCACGGCATGTTTGTCCTGCGCTGGAGCTGTACCGATTTCAACCACATCCTCATGACGGTCGCATGCAATGCGTCCACTGAGGTGAGAAAGGGGTGTCCGTACCTGATAATAACACTGTCAACACACCTCCGTAGCCTCTCTCTCTCCTTCCTCTCTCTCTCTCCCCTTCCTCTCTCTCTCTCCCCTTCCTCTCTCTCTCCCCTTCCTCTCTTTCTCTCTCTCTCTCTCTCCCCTTTCTTTCTCTCTCTCTCTCTCCCCTTCCTCTCTCTCTCACTCTCTCTCCCCTTACTCTATCTCTCTCTCTCTCTCCTCTCTCTCTCTCTCCCCTTCCTCTCTCTCTCCTCTCTCTCCCCTTCCTCTCTCTCTCTCTCTCTCTCCCCTTCCTCTCTCTCTCTCTCTCTCTCTCTCTCTCTCTCTCCCCTTCCTCTCTCTCTCTCTCCCTTCCTCTCTCTCTCTCTCCCCTTCCTCTCTCTCTCTCTCTCTCCCCTTCCCTCTCTCTCTCTCTCTCCCCTTCCTCTCTCTCTCTCTCTCTCTCTCTCCTTCCTCTCTCTCACCGCCCACCCCCCGCCCCCCCCACACACACACACCCACTCTCTCTCTCTCTCTTCCTCCTTTCTGGCTACCTAACAAAGAACTGTCGCTGTTTACATGCAAAACACTTTCAGAAAGGGAAGAGAAAAACAGGATGTTAATATGTACATCCAACGAAAATCAACCCGAGCTGTATCAAATGCAAGAATTATTTGTATTATTATAGAGGCTAATTAACCATTTGAACAAGGAGGCTAAGGCCAGGACAATGCGACTTGTTTAAGAATCAGCTGAACAGCTTTAAATGGAAGGATGTTCGGGTGGGAATTCTATAAGGATGAGATCAAATAGGTTTTCACCTGAGACTCTCTATTTCTCTCTCTCTCTCTCTCTCTCTCTCTCACAAAACGCACGCACACACACACTCTCTCTCTCTCCCACCCCTGATGATCATAATACGTTCTGGGTGTCAGCCTGGCTCAGTTAGTAGCTCTCTCCTCTGAGTCGGAAGGTTGCGGGTTCAAGCCACATTTCAGGGATTTTGAGCTCACACTCTTAAGCTGACGCCCCAGTGCAAAGAGGCTCTGGGGAGCAAGCAGTGCATTGTCAGAGGCACCGTCATTCAGATGATGGGTTAAACCAAGGTCCCTTCTGTGCCTGTTCAGGTGGTCACTCACTGCTCTTCAATGCTTGTATCTGGCTCTCTAGGGCATGGACATCTTTGACCGAGTCAACCCGTCGATGCCGACCAGACACTACAAGAACTTCCAGATCGAGGTGACGCAAAACACCAGCTACAGGCTGCACGGCTCTGACACCTGCTTCTCCAGCCTCAGGGAACTGATGAAACACCTCAAATCCCAGATCCTCAAAACCGAGGACGTCAGTTTCCAACTCAAGACCTGCTGCCCCCCCAAACCGAGAGGTCAGAACCACCAACCCCTCTCCCTCTCCACCTCGCCAAGCTTCCCCCACTTCTGCACCCCACTTCCTACTCCGCCCGAACCCTCCCTACTTCACTGCTGCCACCCCCTCCCCGCCAAGCAAAGAGGTCAGAACCACCAACCCCTCTCCCTCGCCAAGCTCCACGCCTCCGCTCTGCACATCCTTTCCCCACAGGCGTCTCAAAGCACTCTACAAAGTGAATTGACTGTGTATTTTGATGTGTATATTTCGATTCAAAAATCACTGGAATCGGTAAAATCAGAGACATGATTGAAATCCGAGAAATCTACAATACAGAAGGCCACTCGGCCCATCGTGTCCGTGCTTGTGCTTTTTAAGAGCATTTCCTCCCGTCCTGTTTCCCTGCCCGCTCCCCTCCGTAAGGCAGAGGCCGATGGAGAGATACTTGGGAGTTGAGGAAAAAAGGCAGGAAAAAGAGGCGATAAGTGACGTGATGTGAGATTGAAAAGAAGCTTCCACCTCCCAATCCCATCCCAACCCAACCCGCCCCCACCCCACCACCAAAGAAAGTAGCTCGCTAGACCGTCAGCCTAAATTGTGAGCTCGACTCCCTCAAATCAGTGGCCAGGAGAGGTGGGAGAGAGGGGGTGGGGGGCTTGAACCCACAATCTCCTGACCAGAATGTCACCAACTAAACCAAGTGGAATCCAGTCAAAATCCAGACAGAATTTTATCACTGACTAAATGTCTTTGCTGATTTTAAAGTGATCTGAGGCACTGCCGAACATGGAGGGCACCCTATAAATGCAGGGTGTTGTTGTTAGAGTGCCGGACATTGATGTTTTGACTGCCGATTCCTGGTGTGAATGGATAATAATAATAATAATCCTTGCATTCGCTATACAGCGCCTTATCAGGTCTTCGAGACATAATTTGGTCACTCAGTTTGTGGGTCAGGTTTCGCCCACAAAATATACAGTCGATTCACTTTACGGTGTGTTCTGCGAAGCCCTTTGAGATGTCTTGAAGACATGATAAGGCGATGTATCAAATGCGAGGATTATTATCTCAAAGCACTTCACGGAATATTGTGCGAAGTGTAGTCCCTGTATTTTTGGGGGCGAAAGGTGGTGGCCAAATGCGCACAACAGCGTCCCACAAACAGTTGTGGGTTGAGTGACCACATTATTATTATTATTTTGATGATTTGAGCTCAGTGATTTGTGCTGTTGCGCTGGCATAGAGAGAGAGAGAGAGAGCGAGAGCACGTGGCTTTGCGGAGAGTTGACTCACTCTGTCTCTGGAGACCAAGGGGTTACGTGTACGCTATGTGTGGTTACTGCTCTGGGTATGTGTTGCTCAAGGAAGCTGTTATCAAACCATCTCGGGCCGAGTGACCTTTAAAGCTGCGGAACCACCTCAGTTCTCTGACTGACCCTAATTTGAGACCATCGCCCTTGTAGTACATACCCCCCCACACCCGCCCACCTCTCCCCCACCCACCACCCACGCAAAAACCCACGCATTAACTTTCCGATATACCTTCCTTTGTGTTCCTCTTGAAATGGCAAACTCCCACTTTTTCTGCACGCTGTTCAAATCTTTATTTCTTCCTTCCTCTCCCCACCTCCCCCACACCTCTGCCGCCCCCAAACCCCCCCAGCGCGGTCCCCTCCACCCTCACCCTCCCCACCCCCACTCGCACACAGCCGCTGTTTACAGAATCCATCTCCGGAAGCTTTGTGGTCTTATTCTATCACTCTTTATTTCCTGTTGAAACACGGGAGGACGTAAGCGATTTTTTTTATTAGCTCTACACTTTAATTAAACAACTGAAATCCCACCCCCCCCCCCCAACACACACGCGTACACAATGTCGCCGCACTCTCTCTATCTCTTTTCTTACAGCTCAGGATTTTTTGGGGTGAGACTTGTTTGTTTGATCAGTTCTCTTTCTCTTCTGAGTTGTCTGCCACAGAGGCCACTGGATACATAGATGATAAGGGCTGTGTACGCACCTCTCTCTCTCTCTCTCGCCTCCTTTGAACCTACACGGCAACCAGCCCACGCATGTCCACACCCCAGCCAACACAGCCTCCCACGCAGCCCTGAGCCCAACGCTAGCTTTGCTGACATTTTTACTGGGTACAAAATAGCTGCAGAACGAGAGAGAGAGAGAGAGAAAAACACAAGAAGAACCTGTGATGGCGCTCAGAATGATGGAGAGTGACACAAGCACAAAGGAGGCTGTCTGAAAGCGCTTCACAGGATATATTATGAAATAGAGTGACTGCGCATTTTGTGGGTGAAACGCGGCAGCCAATTACGCGCAGCAGTGTCCCACAAACAGTCGTGTTTTGAGTAACCAATTTTTTTGGGTGGAGGCTGGATTATTACCCCCCCAGGTTCCTACTTACTGCTAGGTAAACAGGCGTGTGGAGTAAGGAAACTTGCCTAAGGTTTCGCCCTGCCTGGGAATCGAACCCGGGTCCTCTCACTTGTGAGGACTTGGAGCTCACAGTCTAAAGCTGACGTGGGGGAGAGCTTCATTCTCAACGGTGGCATCCTTCAAATCAGAAGTTTCGCCCACAAAATACACAGTCCCATCACTTTGCAGCATGTCCTGTGAAGCGCTTTGAGGGGTCTCGATGAGCTGCTGTATCGCTTGGAGGGATGACGCTAGTTTACAAGGAAGTGTTTGATCTGGTGTGTAAGGGCAGGAGCATGGAAATATAGGCTCTCAGTGTGCTTCCCAACAGCGGGGCTAACGTTCTGTTGATCAAGCAACAACAACAATTTGCGCCCTTCACGCGGGATTGAGTCCTAGAGCGCTTCACACTGACTTATCCAAACACCGTTTGCGTAGCTGTTTGCACAAGTCGATCCCTGAGTTTGCCTACCTACAAAACACGCAGTCACTACACTTCTCAGTGTATGACCGCGTGGAACCGTGCGCGAGGCGGATTTAAAATCAATTTGAAAGCACAAAAATAGCCACAGTTCGCAGTCAGATCAAAGGGCCTGACATTGATTGTGTAGGTGTCAGGCTGTTCCATTCAAAATCAACCCCTTTCAACTTTGACAGCAGCGTCCCTGTGCCTCAGGGGTTGTTTGCTTTTTTTTTTTGGGTGGGTGGGGGGTTACAGGGCGGGCCGGGGTGGGTGGGGGGGGTCAATCAGTCTGCAAGTCACCGCTACTATTTGGAGCGAGCAACAGACAAGATCAGATAACCTGAGATGTTGATGGTGAGCTGGCTATACTTAACGGGTCCTAGCTGGTCACGCAGTGGGAAAGCTTGCCAGAGAGTCATATCAATGGCAAGCTATGTTGTTTTCAGCTGGTTAGATGCCAGCGGTTACCCCAAATGCACACTCTGGGATCACCCAAGACTTGGCTCTCACCAACCTGCGCCTAATACTCTCCGGAATTAGATAAGCAGGACACGTCTGTCCAGGGATAGCGAGAGAGAGTGAGTGCAGTGCGTATTCCATTCCGGAAATTTGCAGGTGACAGACATATCTGGAGCTCTCAGTCTGGTTTGGATACACTTAAGCACAGTGATGGGTTTCCATGTGTGTCCATGTGGGACGTCCTACCGACGTGAAAGGCGCTCAATAAATGGAATCTTGTTGTTGTTGTGTCAGACATGATCAGTGTTGAGGCTGATCATAGTGATAGGTGGGTCAAGGGGGTGTGGTCCAGATTCATAGAGTTCGAGGCCATTCCAATCACACATGCAGGGTATGGGGGGAGTGTGGGGGCTGGGGGTCAGGTTGGGGATCACTAGGACTTATCAATTCCACAGGTTAATTTTTTTTGTGTGACTTGTCCATGAGATCTGACTCTCTCTCTTGCTGTCTCTCATCGCACAGAAATCTCTAACCTGTTGGTGGTGAGAAGAGGCCGGGCACTGGACTCCCAACTTGCTGCCAACAATACCAACCTCAGCCAGCTGAGCTTCCATCGCATCCCCAAGGAGGAAATCACCCAGGTAACGCGCCCCCCCACCCCCATCCCCTCCCCGCCACACCACGCACAACCCCTCCTCCTCGGGAAATCTCCTCGGCCTGTGCCCTGTTCAAGTGGATGCCACGCAATTGCTATCGGAAAAGAGAAGGGAGTTTCTCTCTCCTGGTGTCTGAAATAATAATAATCCTTTCAATTCATATAGCACCTTATCCCATCGTCGTCAAGGTGTCTCAAAGCGCTTCACAGGACATGCTGTAAAGTGTAGTGACTGCGTATTTTGTGGGTGAAACACAGCAGCTAATTGCGCACAGCCATGTCCCACAAACAGCCTTGGCGTGAGTGACCAATCTTATTTGGGGGACTGTCAGCCAGGACACCGGGAGAGAGAGAAACTTTTATTTTCCAAATAGTGCCATGGGATCTTTAACATCCACCTGAACAGGCAGTCGGATTATCTGGTCCTCGTAAGCAATGTCCAAAGCTTTACTGTGACTCTAACCCTGACCTGGGAGTCCTTCCTGTTTTATTTTCAGTTGCTCCTGACCAAATGAAAAAGTTTTACTTCCCAATTTATTCCCTGTTGCTGCAAAACATCTGTATTGTGTGTTGGTTCTGTTCCTTTTTTTGTGTCTCTGTGCGTGTCTGGGTATGTTGGTGAATTTACTTGGTGTGGTGTTTTATGCACGAAGTGTGAATTTGATTGTAAATGTGTCGATTTAAGTGCATGTGTGTGTGTGTGTGTGTTTGGCTGTAAGCTAGTGTGTAAATCTTGGCAAAGACAAGTTGACCAAGCCGTAAAAAAATCCTGTGAGATCCTTGGGTTTATAAATAAAGGACACGGAAGTTCTGCTAAACCTTTATAAATCACTAGTTAGGCCTCAGCTGGAGTATTCTGTCCATTTCTTGGCTCCACACTTAAGGAAGGATGTCAGGACCTTGGGAGACCGGGCAGAGAAGATTTACCAGAATGATAAGCAGAGTGGCTAGAGACGCTGGGAATGTTCTTCTTCGAGTAGAGAAGGTTGAGGGCAGATTTAATAGAAGGGTTCGAAATGATGAGGGTTTTTGATAGAGCAGATAGGGAGAAATTGTTTCCTCTGGCAGGTCCGTCGGTAACCAGAGGACGAAGATTTCAGATAATTGGCAAATTATCCAATGGCTCCCCATCACTCAGAGGATACAGTTCAAGATCCTGGTCCTCACCTTCAGAGCCCTCCATGGCTTTGCTCCTCCCTATCTCTGCGACCTTCTAACCCCCTACCAACCTGTCTGCTCACTCCGCTCAGCGGGTTCCGCCTGCTTCACGTTCCCCGCCTTGCCTGCCCCACCAATGGGGGCCAGGCCTTCAGCCTCGCTGCCTCCCACCGTCTGGAACTCCATCCTATAGTCCCTCCACCTCGCCACTCCCTTGCCTCCTTCAAAACGCGTCTCACGACTCCTCTTTGACCATGTATTCGTTCACCCTCATACCTCTACCTTCCCCGCTCTCCACCCCTCCTGATCCCAATCACCAGCTTGGGTGCAGATCCCTGACTGTTCAGCGCCTTGGGATGTCCTCCTGACGTGAAAGGCGCTGTGTAAATGTAATTTATTATGGTTGTTGAGACGAGGAGACATTTTCTTTACCCAGAGAGTTTGTTACTGTCTGGAATGAACTCCCTGAAAGGCTGGTGGAAGCAGTTTCGATAGGGAATTCGATTGGTACTTAAAAGGGAACAATACTCCGGGGTAAGAGCGGCGTAGTGGGACTCGTTGGTTGCTCTTTAAAAGCTCTTTCCTGCACAGGTACAATGGGCCGAATGGCTTCCTCTGCTGTAGAATTGTATGATTGTATGAAATGGGTGTGAATGTGTGAGAGTGTTTGAATGCACGAGAGCGTGAGTGTAAACGGTGTGTGTCATACAGTTGGAGCACCTGGGCCGGGGAACGAGGACAAATATCTACGCGGGGACTCTGAGCTGCCGGGAAGAGGAGGAGGACGGGGGCAACGTCCAGTACAGCACCAGAGAGATGAGGGTGGTCCTTAAGATCCTGGACTCCGCGCACAGAGACATCTCCCTGGTGAGGGGCTGTGGGGGAATGGGGGTGTTGGAGTGTGGTGGTCAGAGGGGGCGCAACTCAACTTCAGCACTGCAGTGTTGGTGATGCTGATTCGACCTCACCACGCATTCAAACTCACATGTGTCAACTCGCGCACACACACGCACAGACACGCACCGTGCTAGCGGAGAGGCTTTTAAATCTAATCTTGTATTTTGGATGGTTAGGGAACGGGTTGGTTCTGTGTTAACGAGTCTCGCTCTCTCTCCTCTGCAGCCATTTTTCGAGACGGCCAGTATGATGAGACAAGTGTGTCACAAGCACATCGTTCTCCTGCACGGAGTGTGTGTCCGCAACCTGGAGAGTGAGTGGCTCTCAGCACCGAAACACACTGCAATATATCACGACACAACACACCCAACGTACCACAACACACCACACTGCCCCCAACCACACCACAGATGTACAATGGGCAATACAGGGGTGGGGGAGAGAGGAAGGAACCTATGAGGGGGATGAGCTAAGAGGGGTAACAGGCAATGTGTGAGTGGGGGGGGGGCACTGGATGGGGAAGTGTGTGGGGGGGAGGGCAGTGGGTGAGGCAGTGTGTGAGTGGGGTGGCATTGGGTGGAGCAGTATGTGAGTGGGGGGGCATTGGGTGGGGCAGTGTGTGAATGGGGGGCAGTGGGTGGGGCAGTGTGTGAGTGACTGGCTTTGTGTGAGTGGGGGTGGGGCAGTGTGTGAGTGGGGGGGGCATTGGGTGGGGCAGTGTGTGAGTGGGAGGGCATTGGGTCGGGCAGTGTGTGAATGACGGGCAACTGTCTCCCCTGCAGACATCATGGTGGAGGAGGTGGTGGAGTTCGGAGCCCTTGACCTGTTTATGCACCGGAAAAGCGAGCACCTGAGCACGGCCTGGAAATTCCTGGTGGCCAAACAGCTGGCCAGCGCCCTCAGCTACCTGGTGAGGCAAAGCCCGGCCCCCGTCTGCTGGGGGGGGAGGGTGGGGGGAGTGCTGTACCCCAGTTAGGCAGCGAGGTTGAGCCAGGGTTACAGCGATGGGAAAGCCGGGTGTCTGACGCACACGGAAACCTATCACCGTGATCCAAATCAGACTGAAAGTTCCACATATGTATGTCGCTTACACATGGAAATCCCAGAGGTAGATTGTTGGAATGGAATGCTCTCTCTCTCTCTCTCCCTCTCTTCCTGGAGGGATGATTCCTGCTCACCTAATTCCAGAAAGTATTAGGCACAGGTTGGCGAGACCTGCGTTGGGGTAACTGCTGGAGTCTAACCAGCTAAAACCCGCATAGCTTGCCATTGATATCGTTGTCTGGCAAGTTTTCCCGCTGCTTGTCTTTACGAACGCAGGGTTAACGGGGTGGGCGCACGTTTAGGACCAGATCACAGTCAGATTTAGCCCCTTGTTTGCCTGCTTTCTGCTCTCAGGAGGACAAGAACCTGGTTCACGGCAACGTTTGCACCAAGAACATCCTCTTGGCCCGGCAGGGCCTGGATGGCGACAGCGGCCCCTTCATCAAGCTCAGTGACCCCGGGGTGCCCATCACCGTGCTGTCTCGCGAGGGTGAGCACCAAAGCCCAGCTCCGATTCTCCACAAACACTCGTTCCCCGTCCACTCACACCCTCCCTCACACCGCTCTTCCACCATCCGCCCCCGTGCCCTCGCCATGCTTGCTCCCGCCAACTCCCAGCCACGCCCTTCCCTCACACTCTCACCCACTCCTAGTTGCGCCCTGGCTGCTCTATCGCTCCCTCCTTACCCTCGTACCCCTCCCCGTGTCCTTGCTTGTGCCCCCCCCACCCCCTCACTACTGTAACTCGTTCTACCCCTTCCCCCACTCGCTGCTCTAACGCTCTCTCTCCCCCCCCCTCCACGCAGAGCGAGTAGAGAGGATCCCCTGGATCGCCCCCGAATGTATGGACGACACCAAGAACCTGAGCATCGCCACTGACAAATGGGGCTTTGGGACCACCCTGTGGTCTGTCTGCTACAACGGGGAGCTGCCCCTCAAGGACAGGAGCCTGGCAGAAGTAAGTACCCAGGTGGGGGGCTGGGGGGGGAAAGGTGGCGCAGACCACACTGGAGCTCTTTACTCTAACGTACCTTGTGGCCATTACAGAAGGAGAGGTTCTACGAGGCACATTGTAAGATGACCCCCCCTGTGTGCTGTAAGGAGTTGGCGGAGCTGATGCAGCAGTGTATGAACTACAACCCCCCCGAAAGACCCTTCTTCAGAGCCATCATGAGAGACATCAACAGACTTCAGGAGCAGAGTGAGTGTCACACTCATGTGTCCACGTGTCAAGCAATTATCACTGACCTGGGAGTATGGGCGGACAGTGTAGAGGGAGCTTTACTGTATCTCTAACCCGCGCTGTGGCTGCGCTGGGAGTGTGGGACGGACACTAATGATGGTTCTCACCCTCAGATCCAGACATTGTTTATGAGGACCAGCCGAGGGCAGAGATTGATCCAACTCATTTTGAGAAGCGATTCCTGCGAAGACTCCGAGACTTGGGGGAGGTGTGTACCCGTGTGTGTGTGTGTGTGTGCGCGCCTTGGGATGTCCTCCTGACGTGAAATGCGCTATACAAATGTAATTTGTTGTTGGCTGTGTGTGTATATATAGATATATATATGTGTGTGTATATGAGGGACAGTGAACAGACAGGTTAGAGTTACAAGGGAGAGAGAGAGATGGGAGTGGTGAGAGAGCATGGGGTGGAGAGAGACATGGGGTGGGGGGGGAGATATGGGGTGGGGAGAGAGGGACATGGAGGGGGAGAGGCATGGGGGGGGAAGAGAGGGACATGGGGGGAAGAGAGGGACATGGGGGGAGAGAGACATGGGAGGGGAGAGGGAGACGGGGAGGGAGGGAGAGAAAGTGAGAGAGATGGGTGGGAGTGGGATAGGAGGGAAGAGAGGGAGAGAGAGTCAGGAATAGTGTCGGAGTGACTTTGCTGTGTGCCTGGCTCAGTGACGTCGCGCTGTGTTGTGACAGGGCCACTTTGGGAAGGTGGAGCTGTGTCGCTACGACCCAGAAGGGGACAACACCGGAGAGCTGGTGGCTGTGAAATCCCTGAAGCCGGACAGCAGTGAGGAGCACAAGGCAGACCTGAGGAGAGAGGTTCAGATCCTCAAAACACTCTACCACGAGAACATAGTCAAATACAAGGGCATCTGTACCGAGGAGGGTAAGTGTGACCACCAGTGTCTGACCTGTGTGTGACCAACAACAACAACAACAAACTTGTATTTATATAGTCTCGGAGCTTTTGACATTGGCGGAATCTGACCCCGAGACAGAGAGAGGGGGGAGGTGACTGTAAGCCCGATGAAAATGGAAGGTCTTCAAGCAGGATTTGAAGTGGGGAGGGAGGGGGCAAGGATTGAGATAGAGATTGCCAGAATTTTGGGGTGTTGTGGCTGAATGCATGGCCACCGGTGGTGGAGGTGACGAGGGGCAAACAGGAGGCCAGAACCAGTCAAGCGGAGGCAGCGGGTGGTGGATTGGGGGGGAAGCAGGTCAGAGAGGTAGGAAGGTGCCAGGGTATGAAGGGATTTGAAAACCAGTGAGGTGATCTTGAAATCGAGACAACAGTTAATTACATTTACAATGTCTTTCATGTCGGGAGGATGTCCCAAGGCGCTGGACAGTCAGGAGTTTGCACCCAAGCTGGGGTTTGGGGTAGGGAGGGTGAGGTTAGGAGGCTGACTGAAGGTGGGTTTGAAGAAGTGGGTCATGAGACTTCTTTTGAAGGAGGCAAGAGAGGGAACAAAGTGAAGGGACTGGTGGGATGAGTTCCAGAGAATGGGACAGAGAGGCTGAAGGCCTGACTGGCGATGCTGGGGTGGACCGGGTAGGGATAAAAGATTAGCCTGGCCAGAACTCGGGGAGATAGAAAGTCCCTTCTCTTTTCCCGACAACGACTACCTGAACAGGGCACACACAGGGAGTGACGTTTAACATGTCATCCGAAGGACGGTGTCTCTAACAATTCAGCCCTCTTCGCCCCCCCAGCTGTCTGTGTGGACGACGCTGTGCACAATTTGGCTGTTAAATTCACCTATAAAACACACAGTCACTACAATTTACTGTAAAAGTGGAATGGAATCCTGTAGCTCAGTGGTTAGAGGACTCGCTTTGCAAGCTAGGAGATGGGTTTGATTCCCGGGCGGAACAAAACCTTAGTCAAGTTTCCTTACTCCACTCGCCTCTGTTTGCCTAGCAGTAAGTAGGAACCCAGTTGTTAGTCAATTGGCGGATCACTTTTCCGGGGGTAATAATCCCTTCAAAAAAAAATATAATAATTTGGTCATTCAATCCACGACTGTTTGTGGGACACCGCTGTGCGCAATTTGGTGCCGTGTTACGCTCACATAATATCCAATCACTCCACTTTAAAGTATATTCTGTGAAGCGCTTTGAGAAGTCTTGAAGACATGATAAGGGGCTATTGAAATGCAAGGATTATTATTGTTGATTTGAGGCTGAGTGAAGCTCTGACCTAACCCTGAGCCGCTTGTTACCCCAGGAGGGAGGAGGATGAAGCTGATCATGGAGTATCTGCCATCTGGGAGCCTGAAAGAGTATCTGCCACGGTTCAAGAACAAAGTGACCTACGAGAGCAAACTGCTGTACGCACTGCAGATCTGTAAGGTACGGCTTCATCAACAGATCAGTGTGTGTATATACTGTGTGTACGGCATGTGTGTATGTACAATGTGTGTGTGTGTGCATAATTGTTCGAGGGGACGTCGCTGTGTGTAAATTGGCTGCTGTGTTTGCCGACAGAACAAACAAGTCACAACACTTTATAGTGGTTTCAGTGCTTTGAGCCATGTGATGAGATGGAGGCTGTATCAGATACACAGATATTATATTACGTTATTACTCTGGCGCCGGTTGCCGTGGAGATTAACCCTGTGCGCTGTGCCGTTGCCAGGGGATGGAGTACCTGGGATCTCTCCAGTATGTTCACCGGGATTTGGCGGCCAGGAACGTGCTGGTGGAGAACGAAAACCGAGTGAAAATTGGTGACTTTGGGCTGACCAAAGCCATCCAGACCAACAGGGAGTATTACACAGTGAAGGACGACCTGGACAGCCCTGTCTTCTGGTGAGTGAGTGGGTGGGTGGGTGAGGGAGTGGGGAGGGAGGGAGGGGGCTGGGGGAATGGGGTGGCGAGAGAGAGAGAGCAAGGGACAACATTGGTGAGGTGGTGTCTCTCACGTTGCCCCATGTTGCCTCCTCACGCTGCTTCTCACTCTTGGGTTGCGTCTCTCCTGTTGCCTCTCTCTCTCTCGTTGCCATTCGCGCTCTCCTGTTGCAACTCGCTCACACCTTGTGCTCCTGCCCCTCAGGTACGCCCCCGAGTGTTTGATTCACTGCAAGTTCTACATCGCCTCTGACGTGTGGTCATTCGGAGTCACCTTGTATGAGCTGATGACGTCTTGTGAAGCTCAACACAGCCCGATGAACGTGAGTTAGGAACAGACTTGTGTTCTCATCACACTGAAACGTCTCGGTTTATTCAACAACACGTTGCATTCACACAATGCCTTTCACAATGGATGTCCGAAGTCATTGGACAGTCAGGGATTTGTACCCAAGCTGGGAGGTGGGCAGGTGGGATCAAAGAGAAGGGTCTTGAGGCAGGCCTTAAAGGAGGCAAGGGAGGGGGAGCGGCAGAGGGGCCCAAAGGGCAGAGGCTGAAGACCCGACCACTGATGTTGGGGTGCAGCCTACTGAGCAGAAGGAACAGACAGATTTGTAGGGTGTTAGCAAAACCAGAACGGGGGGGGGGGCATCATTTAAAATTAGAGCTAAGCCATTTAAGAGTAAAATCAGGAAGCAGTTTTTCACCCAAAGGGTAGTGGAAATTTGGAACTCTCTCCCCAAAAGTCTGGGGGTGCAGGATTCATTCACATTTTCGAGATTGAGGTGGATAGATGTTTGTTAGGTCAGGGTATTAATGGATATGGGCCAATGGTGGGTAATTGGAGTTGATATATGGATCAGCCATGATCTTATAGAATGGCGGAACAGGCTGAATGGCCTCCTCCTGTTCCCATGTTCCAGCTATCTGTAGGCTGAGAGATCAGCCATTTTGTGCACTGCCAGGAAATGATTTGAGATGTTTCGGTGTTGTGAAAAGGCAAGAGCGTAAAAGTGAGGATTATTTTTATCAAGTTGTTGTTATTGTTGCAATCTCCTGAGTTGTGCTCTCCTCAGAGTGAGATCGTGGAGTCCTGTAGTATAGTGGTTAGTGCGCTCGCCTCACAAGCAAGAGACCTGGGTTAGATTCCTGGGCAAGGCGAAATGTTGGGCAAGATTCCTTACTCCACAGGACTGTTTACCAAGCAGTAAGTATTTATTATTATTATCTGCGGTACTCTTACCAATCCCCCCACCTTATGGCCATGGCAAGAATAACAGTCAGAGCCCTGGACCAAATGTTGAGATTATTAATGTTTAATATAATCTTTACATTTGATAGTTAACGTTCAATTAATACAAAAGACAAAAAAAGGTTCATGTCTTTTAAGGTTTTTTGGGGGGGGGGGGTGCGACTTTATCTTGTTGGCATTTGTCCACAAAACACAATTACTGCACTTTACAGTAAAATCCTGTGAAGCACATTAAGGCATCCTCCCAATGTGAGAGGTGCTGTGTTAAATGTGAGGTTTATTGCTGTTCAATGCTCCTCTCTGAAGTCGGATGGCTGACTGGTGCTGGGAAAGACTTGTCTGATGCTGTAGGAGGGTGGGAGAGGAGAGCCGTGGGTCACTCAGAACGCACGTGATCAGATGATATCTGTCCCGTCCTCACAGATGTTCCTGAAACTGATCGGCCCGACCCAAGGTCAGATGACAGTCACCAGGCTCGTTCGAATCCTGAACGAAGGGAAACGTCTCCCGTGCCCAGACAAATGTTCCGAAGAGGTAAATTCTATTGGCCTTGCTCGCCTCGTGTTCCCTTTATTACAGCTGATCGTGGCTGTGTGTGTGGCGGGGTGGGTGTGTGTGAGTATATTTGTGTGTGGGAGGGGGTGCTGTGTGTAGAGGGGAAATGTGTGTGTGTGTGTGGAACAGGTTTGAGGGGCTGAATGGCTTTCTCATGTGCCTGTTATTGTTGTTATTGATCTACCAGTGTTTAATGGTTGATTGATTAACTGACCATCCCGTGTGGTACGTTAGGTTTACAGCCAGATGAGGAAGTGCTGGGAGGAGAGCCCTAACAACAGGACCACCTTCACCAATCTGATTGGGGTCTTCGAGACGCTGCTGGGCATGAAGGGAAGAGAGAGTGTGCTGCCAGTGAGGGATCACACAGTCCCAGCCCCCCACAGAGATCCGCCATGTGTCTGAGCTCCACACACGGAAACATTTGTTTGAGCCGTGAGTCAGAGACACACGCCACACACACATTGGATTGCCATCAACTGATATTCTGGGCGGGAGGGGTGAGGGATTGTGGAGGGAGTGATATCCCGCCCTTCCTCTTCCCCCCACCCCCCCCCCCTCCAACTTTGAGGGGTGCAGCCCCTGGCTCTTGTGTATATATAGATTTTTAAAGAAATATTTCAGCTGTGGCTGGGAACTCATCAAACATTCACGCACGGAAATGGTAGTGTAGACCTGCCAACTCATCCCGCAAGTTAAAACAGTTATAAAAACGTGTTAAGCATTCTGTGTTATGCACTTTTCTCCCTCTCTCTCGCTTTCTCTCTCCACCCACCCAAACATCCTCTCGGATATTACTTACCATTTATAAAATGGGAGGGGGGAAACTGGGTGATCACCCGGGTGTCTGACATGCGTGGAAACCCATCACCAGGCTTACGTTTACGAAACCAGACTGTATAGCTGTGGTTCTAATGAGAGCAAATCTGTATAGATGTGTATATATGATACAATGTGCCTCATTGAGTGTTTGTATGCTCTATGTGCCCTGTTCTGAGCTCTTTTCTTTTGGTGATCAGCTTTAGTGACATTTTCTCCTTTAAGGGTACAGCGAGTTGCAAGTTTGTCCTTCTTTACTTCCCCCGGGAGGGAGAAGGAAACACAGCCTGATTTATTCACCCCGCCTAACCGTAGGGGCCGAGAGGCTACTTACTGCAGCCCTCAGCTGAAATCACAACTCCGACCAGGAGGTGGGAAGACAACATCAACTTGCATTTATGTAGCACCCCTCACACGTGGCAATGTCCCAGGGTGTTCAACAGTGGCGGAGCCCGATACCGAGCCTGGGTGTGGGGGCGGGGAGGACAGAATCAGCATAATCATTGATTTGAACCTCCGCAAACATTGAGAACCAAAGCCATGCAAACACTCAATCCATGACAGATGGTCAGGGCTTAGCTGTGAGCGTTCAGTGTGGGAAGGGCTTTCCGTTCTCACAACCCTGCTGTCTTTTCACACAGAAGCAATGCTGGAGAAGCCTTTCCTCCTTTATGACCCGATTATGTCACAACTATTTTTCTTTAATCACGAATATCTGGAGGTCGCTGCTGTGCGGAATTGGCTGCTGTGTTTGGCCAATAAAATATACATGCAATTCACTTCACAGGATATTCTGTGAAGCACTTTGAGACGTCTCAAATGATAAGGCACTATATCAAAGGCAAGGATTATTCAAGTTTTTTTGTGCATTAATTATCTGTGTTACATATTAATTATCTCCTGTGTTACATACTTAAAAAAAATTATGTTTACAGTGCAGGGAATTGTCTGATTGCCAATTGAGTCCACACTCTGTCTCTCAGGCCCACTCCACTGCCCTGAACTTATTGCTCTACACTTGTCATCTTTTTTATAATGCTTTTGCCATTTTATAAATGAAGTGACTGTCGGCTTGAGTTATCTCCAAATGGACTTCGTTTTAATTGCATTCTTTCTTATGAAATAAAAAAAACTCATAAAACTTGCACAATGGATTCAGAAAACGGTTTCACAGTAACACTGATATTATTGACCTCCTACTTCTGCTATGCGTAATTGGAATTTCAGTATTCTGTGAAGCGCTTCAAAGTGAGGATTATTATTATTACTCCTGTAATTCCTACCTGTGTTGGCCTGGCTCATCGGGCATCATTCTCATCACTGAGGTAGAAGCTTGCAGGTTCAAGCCCCGGTTCAGGACTTGGAATTCATACAGTCAAAGCTGGCACCCCGGGTCGGAGGTGTCTTCTTTCAGGTGAGACATTAAACCGAGCTGCCATCTGTGCCTGTCCAGGTGGACATTAATGATCCCATGGCACTGTTTAACAAGAAAAGGGAATTTCTGTCTCCCGGTGTCCTGGTGGACAACTAAAATTGGTTACTCACTCCACGGTTGTATGGGGAATGATGCCGTGTATAAATTGGCTGCTGTGGTTGCCTACAAAACTCTAGTCACTGCACGTTTCTGTGAAGCGCTTTGAGTTGCCTCGATGGCATGAAAGGCGCTGTAACAATTGTAAGGATTATAATCACATGCACACAAAACCACAAACACGAGAAAAAACAAAGCCAAAAAAAAAAACAACTCTTAAGACTTTACTTGTTTTTTTTGTCAGTTCAGGAAACTGAGGAGAAATATATAAAGCACAGAGTGTGTGGTTCAGGCGAAGCCTTCTGCACACTCTCCTCTCCCACACACAAGGAGGCCCAGTACATCCCACACAGTCGCACACACCCGCAAGGGGGCCAGAAAGCAAAACAAAATAAAAAACATGCACGTCTCAACATCTCTAGATAATAATTAAAAATATTACTTGTCACACAAGTCAGAAGGAAATAATTTACATGGATAATTCACAACCAGCAAAGCCCTGGCTCGGGTCAATGTAAACCTGCTCTGAGGGCAAACGGAAACACAGTACCACCCCCCCACCCCCACCAACAGCCCTCCACAACCTAGGCAGCTACTGTGGTAATCCATTACACAAAAATATAGTCATCTCAAGCCGAGCCAGAGATGAAGCGATCAGTGGTGGAAAACCAGTACTGTATCGTGTAGGTGCAACAGAGAGGAATCCCCCCACCCCACCCCACCCCCACACCAAGCACGCATGCACACACACACTCACACACACGCACATTCACACACATCTGCTCAGGTAGTGCAGTCACGGACAATCGAGTGGACCCTAATGTGTTGACGCTCACTTCCACCTACGTTAACTGTGGGCTTCGGGCAAGGCGAAGCTGATAAAAGTGCAATTCTAAACACCACAAAGTGTCCAACAGGATAGGACGGGACAACTGGTGCTGAATGATCGGACAAGATAAGGAGAACGTTTGGGGGGGGGAAGGGGGTTAGGAGAAAAAAGGAAAAAAAGGGGGAAAAAATTCACATCAAGCATTCTGTACCCCTCCCCTTTTTAAAAAAAAAACTATAATACATTCCACGGTAAAATATTCAAGTGTGGCTCAGTTTGACACCTTATTCTCAACACACACACCCCCGCTCCCACCCACCCCCACCCTGTATGAAATGTTTCGAGACCGGCTGAGGAAAGGGTCAGGTGGTCCAAGGTGCTATAAAACAAAAATTTTTGGGTGGCCAGCCGGGTGTCTGACATACACAGAAACCCACCACCGTGCTTAAGAGTCTCCAAGCCCAACTGAGAATCCCATGCATCCCACCTACACATGGAAATCCCAGAGATAGATTGTTGGAATGGAATGCACTCTCTCTCTCTCCCTGGACGCCTCCTACTTACCTAATTTCGGAGAGTATTAGGTGCAGGTTGGCAAGAGCCAGAGTGTGCGTTGGGGTAACTCTGGAGGGATGCATCCTGTAAAATCCTGTAAAACAACACTGTACGAAACATCCTGTGTGTAATGTAGGAAGGCAGACAGTTAGAACCCACAATCAGCAACATGTGTGTGAGGGGGGGGGGGGCGGTGTGGGGGGAGGAAGAGAGGGGGAGAAGAAAAATATTCAATGATTTAAAAAGTCATATTCCAACAATTAAAACTCGCATAAACTCGATAAAACGTAGCTTTTCTGTTCTCTCCGTGTGTTGTTTTTAAAAGTCGGGATGTCTTGATGAACGGAAAGCGGGTCGAAGGAAAGGAGGTTGCAAAACGGCTGCCGAGTGTGGGGTCACAGCCATTCACAATGTAAAACAGTCAATCCAGCGTTTGGGCGATAACATCAGCGACACCCAAACATGGCAAAGGAGGCACCAAGAGCGGCCGGCTCAGAACACACGCTTTTTCTTATAATAGGAGTCGGCGTAATGACCCCCGAGCCCTTGCGAGTGCTGCCCCACATACCCCCCGTCTGGGCTGACCTCCGGCGAGGGCAGGAGGTAGGAAGAGGCACGTTTCTGGCCTGCCACAGGACTCTGGGAGAGAGAGAGAGAGAGAGAGAGGGGGGAACAAGGATGTTAGCTTGTGTGTCAGCCTGGCTCAATGGTAGCGCTCTCTCTCTCTCGCTCGCCTCGAGTCAGAAGGTTGTGGGTTCAAGCCCCCACGTCGGGACTCGGAATCACATTGTCGAAGCTGACGCTCCAATGCAGTCAGCGCCTTGAGACGTCCTCCCGACGTGAAAGGCGCTGTACAAATGTAATTCGTTGTTAACCGTGTTAGAAATTTCCGTCTCCAGCCCTCGTCACAAAAACAAGCATTTTCTCCGTCATAAAATACCCCTCTGAAACAGTCACTGCACTTTACATACCGTGCAGCCCTTTGAGACAACCTCTTGAAGTGAAACGACCCGTTGTCAAAAGTAAGATTATTATTAATAAAATACCATCACCCGGGGTTTCTCTCCCAGGGCTCTTCTGTCTGTTTTCACCCCCTGGATCTCTCCTCTCTTTTTCCCTCCCTCACAAACAAAGACACACATGCACAGACACACACATAGCACGCACACACTCGGGGGCAATGTTTTGTCATTGGCTAGGTAAGACATCATATCTTGTATTCATCCTTCTTGCAGAGAGAGGAGAGAGAGAAATAGATAAGAGGCAAAAACAAAAAGGCAGAGGAAGAGAAATAGAGAAAGAAATAATTAAAGCGGGTGCACAGAGCAGTGGATCAGCAGGACAGTGTGAGTGTGAGTTCAGAGTTGCTGTAAAGCACCACAGGACAGACACTCGCTCGCCGGTTGTCTTGTTTTTAGTGGCGAAGCTCCCGCCAGGCCCTAGCCCAAGGATCCCAGACCCCGGGGCAGCTCTGACTGCACTGGAGCAGAGAGAACGCATCATCACAGCGGGCGCTGGGCACACAGTCACCATAGTAAAATTGGTCACTCGCTTCACAGCCGCTTCTTGGACGCCGCTGTGATGGAAATGGGCTGCTGCATTCGTCTACACAATACAGTGACTGCACTTTACAGTAAAGCCTGTGAAGTGCTTTGAGATGTTTTCCATGATGTGATAAGGCGCAGCGTCAAATGTTAGGATTATAAAACCGTGCCCACCTGAACAGGCACAGGGAAAACCTTGGTTTAATGTCTCATTTGAAGGGAGGGAGGCTGCTGGATAATGGAGATCAGCAGGGAATGGACTTGAGCTGCTATTGCCAGTCTCAGCGTTGGCTGCCTTTCACCATCTTATTCAACTCAGGAGTAGACAAAATATCCACGAAAGGCCGACAGGTGACATCACTGATCCCCATTTAACTTCCCGTTGAAGGCGGACTGCTTTCACGAAGGTGTGCTCAAAACATTACCCGGTGACAAAACTATACCAAGTGTAAGTGTGCGCGGGCAAAATAGATGGAGAGTGAGAGAGAGAGAGGAAAGGAGGGAGAGAGAGAGAAAACAGAAGTTAATCTCATTAAATTCTTTGATAAAACTCTGTGACTACCTTGTTGGTGTAAGCAGAGGGCACGTTGGCTGGGTAGTAGGCTTGACTGGTAGTGTAATAGGAAGGCACCATCTGTACAAAGGTGTTGTAGTCCCCATAGGCAGCGGGTGGCTGAGAAATAAGACAACAAGTGTTTGATTCACTGTAAGTTCTACATCGCCTCCGATATGTGGTCATTCAATGTCCAACTGATGTTATCTTGTGAAGATCAACACAGCCCATGAACGTGACTTAGGAACAGAGGGAGCGAGGCGAAGGGACTGTGAAATGGAGTTCCAAAGAGTGGGAGCAGAGAGGCTGAAGGCTCAACCGCCGATGATAGGGCAGGCCGGGCGAGGGACATGGAGAGGCCGGAGCCTGCTGAGCAGAGGGAGTGGACAGGTTAATATGGCAGGTCACAAAGGTCGGGAGACGTCACATTCAGTACAGCACCAGAAAACCGCTCCGTCACCGCGCAGAGCACCAGGCACAGCTGGAACAAGACCACAGTGTGAGAGAGAAGTCAGTGGTTTTCTCTCTCTCTCTCAGGCTCAGGTCTCTGCGCTGCCCTGTAAAAGCCAGGGACTGAGGAAGCTTTTTCACGTCTAAGCCCGGAGAATCAGTGTCTCGGCCGAGCTTTCTCTGCGGTGGGAGCGGTGACCAGAGGTGGGTCTTGTTGCTCACCTGATTGTAGAACGCTTCCGCAGGTGCCGTCGATGCCTCGGTATAAGCTGCAGCCGTCACCTGAGGAAAGACGGCAATAAAACCCAACTCTGTAAATCCTTCACTTTATTAACTATCACGTTATGTAGTAAAAGTCCCCATGTTTCCTACAGTGCAGTGACTGTGTTTTGGAGGCAAACACGGCAGCCAATCTGTGCACAGCAACGCCCTCACAAAGCAGCCATGAAGAGAAAAAACGGGACCTGGAGTTAACATCTCACCTGAAAGCCAGCGTCTCCGACAATGCAGCGCGACACTGCACTGAACTGGAGCATCAGCCTAGACTATGAGCTCAAAGTCCCTGACTTGGGGCTTGAACCCGGTGCCTGTAGCAACCATGACTCGCGGACGCCCTATGCCTGGGGCTGCCACCTTCGCTTACCTCGTCTTGCTCCGCTCTGTGCCCATGTGCAAAGCCCTCATCCAACGACGGGACTCCCTGGGGGTACCACGGCTGCTCCTACCACAACACAAAGAGGGAGCGCTCAAAGCCTCTGTGCCACATGGCCTCTGACTCCCGCACCTGAACAGGTAAATACTTCTCAACACTTTTAAACACTCCCCTTTGTCTACAGTCTAAACTCTTCCCCCTCCCAACAGTTTAAATACTACCCGCTTCCAACAACAACAAGAATTTGCTTTTACGCAGCGCCCTTCATGCAGGATAGTGTCTTGAAAGAGTGCTGACACCATTACTATTGGTAAGAGAAGGGAGTTCTCCCGGTGTCCTGATTGACAATACTTCAGATAAATTGGTCTTTCACATCTGTATGTGAGGTTTTATTGTGAGCAAACATGCTTTTACCCCCACACACAGTTGTCAGCTACTTCTTCTGGAGTTCTCTGAGACGCTGCGAGGTTACAGGTTCTGTAACGAGGATTACTGTTCAAAATAGATTTGAATCATAATATTAAATAATAATAATCCTTGTATTTGCTATAGTGCCTTATCACGTCGTTGAGATGTCTCCAATCGCTTCACAGAATAAACTGTGAAGTGGATTAATTGTGTATTTTTGGGCGAAACACGGTATAGCCAATTGCGTACCATCAGTGTCCCACAAAAATTTATGGACTGAGTGACCAAATTATTATTATTATATTTTTTAAAGGATTATTACTCCTGGAAAGCGATCCGGTTCGCATTCAACTAACAACCAGATTCCTACTAAATAAACATATATAATAGCTTTTCTTTACCAAAAATGGATTAACAGCTTGGATGGGGGCTGAGCAGAGTCAGGGTAAGACCCTGTGAGGAGAGACTGGGAGTTAACATTTTAACTTAGGAGTTATATTCCATTTAAAGAGACTTTTATATATATATATGTGTGTGTGTGTCTTCATTCCTTTCACGTACAAGTGTAAATTTGTATTGGATACATCCAGCACTCCGTGATGCTACACCGTGCGAAGGGTGCTATATAAATGTGTTGTAAACATGACCAAATGAGAGGTGGCAGTGTGGCTGTTACACCGCAGCTCAGCACAGGAGGCTGTGGCTGTCCACATACATACCTGTGAGTAATCCCGGTAGTTTGACGGGTAATCCTGGTAAGCGTCGTACGTGTACTGGGAGGCGGCTGGCTGCTGCTGCTGCTCGGTTGAGGACTGGGTGGTCCTGGAGCTGGGGAGGTTTAGCACAGCCCCCAGCCCCCTGGACTGCTGCGACACACCGACCTGCTTACCCATGCTCCCTGCTGGAGTCAACACACAGGACATGGGTCAGTCAGCGCGGGGTGAGGAGTGCTGCGGAGAGGTTTGGGCGCCGTGTTGAATCTCCCTCCCTACCCTTCCCCGTTTGGGTCAAAATTCCTGACTGTCCAGCGCCTTGGACGTCCTCCTGACGTGAAAAGGCGTGTACAAATGTAATTTTGTATTGTGTTATAGGGAAGATTTCAAGTTGCTGTAAAGGGTATGGAGGAGACTCACTCAACACAACACGATGGAGCTGTCAAAATGCCCCCTCTGGTCATCACCCTGAATTGCCCCTTCCTTCTCTACCTACTTAATGCTTGGGGAGGGATATTGGTGTGGGGTGTGTGGGGAGGTGAAACTAAGTGAACACACAGGGTAGAGTCCTAACCAAGATCATACCTAGATCAACAAACCTCTGGAACTCCCTCATTCCCTACCTCTTCAACCTCTATGCTCCCACCCTCTGGAACTCCATCCCACAGTCCCTTCGCCTCGCTCACTCCTTTGCCTCCTTCAAAGCCCGCGTCAAGACCCTCCTCTTCAACTGCACCTTTGGTCACCCTCCGACCTCCACCCGCCCATCAGCTCGGGTCTAAATCCCTGACTATCCAGCGCCTTGGGACATACTCCCGATGTGAAACGCGCTATGTAAATTTTCATTTGTTGGTGTTTTCTCTACCCCTCTGGCTCACCCCTCGGGCTCTGTGTCTTTTTTAAATTTCTACCTTAATATTTACCCCTTCGACCATGCCAGGCCACTGGCTCACCTGCTCCCACTTCCCCCAATCCACATGCAATCCATTCCCTGTCAAGTGTGTCAGTGTTATCCTAGGTGAGGGGCTCTATGTAAATGTAGGTTGTGTTCTTCCCACATGCAACCTTAGCGCAGGGACTCACCCGGTGGGTTCAGGCTAGGAAAGACACTGTAGAAGTTCAAGTATGGATTGTTAGGCACCTTTAGGTCCTGGGGAGGATCACCCAACAGAGACAACTTGTTTGCCGTGATGCCCTGGAGAAAGAAAACGCGAGTAAGTCAATGTTATTTGGTTCTGGTTACCTACAGCAAGCTCGCGAACTAGATGGAACAAGGCTTTTGCAAGTGGTTTTGATTTTGAAACTGGTGCCAGTTTGAGAATAAAATTCTGCCTTTTGAGGGTGAAAATATCATCAGATTCAATATATCAACTCTCCTAGTCTCCAGATTAAGGTGTCTGTTAGATTAAGGTACCTCCCTCCCACTTGCCCCCCCCCACTCATGTCACAGTGCCTTAATCCTCCAACTCCCTACATCCCCACCCTCACCACCTTCCCAGGGCAACCAGCCATGGGCAATAATCGCCAGCCCTCCCAGCATCGCCCACATCCCGAGGGCAGGGTGAATTTTAACATAATAATAATCCTTGCATTTAATTCAGCGCCTTATCACGTTGTTGAGACGTCTCAAAGCGCTTCACAGGATACACTGTAAAGTGGATTGACTGTATATATTGTGGACAAAATGCACCAGCCAATTGCGCACACCAGTGTGAGTAACCAAATTATTATCTTTTTTTGAAGGGATTATTATCTCAGAAAGCAATCCGCCAATCGACTAACAACTTCCTACTTACTGCTAAACAGGTGAATGTGTGTAGAGTAAGCAAACTTGCCTAAGGTTTTCCCTGCCCGGGAATTGAACCCAGTTCCTCTCGCTTGCTAGGCGAGTGCTCTAACGACTACGCTACGGGACTCCAGGTTACTGAAAACTGCTTACCCCCACAGACGCAGGTTCGGGCAGGCTGGGCTGAGCTCGGTGCTGCTGGAGGCTGGCGAGCAGAGTATTGAGCAGAGGGTTGGGGATGCCCTGTAGGTGTGCCAGGGCGGCTGCCGGTAGTGCCGGATGCACTCCCAAACCTGCTGCCGCTTTCTCGGGGGCCTTCTGCTCCCCTCGTCCGTGTGGCAAGAGGCTGCGGTTGGGATAAAACGGTAACGTGCCCACGGGAGACTGGCCGGGCTCCAGGCTCAGCCCTGCAACAGGAACACCTGCCAGAGAGAACACAGCCTGTCAGGCACCCAGAGCGCAAAGAGTTCCTGACACTTAGGAACAATCCCAAACCATAATCCCATTCTCTCTCGCCATCGTGTCTGTGGTGGTACTCACTCCCCCACTGGAGTTCTTTACTCTAACCCCATTCACTGCTCTCTCCCCACCCTGTGTGCGCTGGTCAAGACAACTGAGTTTTGGAATTTACCCTTTGGTAGGTCGGTCAAAACTCCCTTTGGGTGATTAATCCCTGCAGCCGGTAAACCCATAGCCTTCTGAAGAAACAGCACAGCCGGGTCTCCCAGCAATCCAGGCTTCTGGAAACAAAAAATATCAGGATTTATGATTACAATCAAAATTTAGCTTTTTTTAAAACAAAGTGAATACCTCATCAAATAAGTTTGGGGCGGCCTGACACCAGGTTTTAATGGCTGGCTTTCGCTCACAAATACAGTCACTTCACTTTGCAGTATATCCTGTGAAGCGCTTTGAGACGTCTCAACGACGTGATAAAGAGCTTTATCAGATGCAAGGATTATTATTTATTATTATTTTGGATTTGTCAGTAAGTAAATGCCGGGAGCCTCACCCCAATCGGTTTATATCCTAAAGCGTAGTGACTGTGCAGTGTGGGATGAAGAGGCTGGAGTAAAACTCACAATGCCGGGCGCTGGCGTTTCTTTGGTCAGGAGCAACTGCTGCTGTTGTTGCTGTTTTTGTTGCTGCTGCTGGTGTTGCTGCTGTTGTTGTTGTTGGGCTACCTGCATCCTCAGGAGACTCTGAAACAACAGTCCGTTTCCTAGCATTGCGTTCTAAGAATAAAGGAGACAAACAAACAAACTAACTAACTAAACTCCCCTCAATACTTAATTCCGGAGTCACTCAAGGTAATGCATCTACCGGAGATGTTACAGAAGGAATGTTAAAGAATTTTGCCGGGTAGTGGGACTAGATTAAGAGCTTCCATCCAGCACATCCTGGATGGACCAATTGGCCTATTTCTGCACTGTGCCATTTTGTGATTGAGCACGAGTGTGAGAGGGGGCAGGTGACCAGAAACACCCATTCGACTTATAAAGTCTATTTTAGTTACGTCAAGTCTTTTATTCCATTTTCCTAAACAACTTCACTTCCCATCAATCTCTCTCCTGCCTGCCTGGACCCTCTGTACCTGTAACTGATTAAAAGTGATTTAGGTAAAGATAGAGTGAGCATTAGTATAACTGCAGGAAATATCTGGGGAAACACTAATTTAGTGAGCGAGTAGTAGACTTATGGAACAGGGAGACAGTAGAAGCAGAGAATGTCATTTGTTTCAAGACAAATTAGATAGATTTCTGCTAGAAAATAATATTTGGGGGAACAGTACATAGTTTGGGACACGACATGTCAAGCGACTGCCAGGATGGTGGAAGTCGAATAGGAATATCATTCAGTCGTCTTAAAGCACTTCACAGAATATACGGAAATGCAAATATTCCTTGCATTTGATGTAGCACCTAATCACGACTTCCGAGACGTCTCAAAGTGCTTCACATATATATATGTATACACACACACTGTATACTGTAAAGTGAATTGACTGGATATTTTGTGGATGGACCTTGGTCTTCTTTCATCTAGCAAATTCTTATGTTACTAGGTTCTTAGAACTGTGCTTGGTGCTGAGGGGGTGGGTGGGTGAAAGAAACGGGAGAGACGCAATCAATTAGCCAGGACCCCTGACTCTCCTCTACTCACATCCTCAGATGTGCCATCAGCCTGTGGTTAGCTAGTGGGTGCTGAATGGCGCGGTTTATTTAGATGGGTGGACAGTCGACACAGCTCAGGGCTGCTCTCCCCGACCCCATGGTTTCCCGAGAATTTACCTGTTGTGCTCTGTTGATCTGGAGCAGCACTGCGGCCAGTGCCGGGTTGGGCAGCACAGGGACATTACAGGGGGCTGCAAACACACCTGCCAACAACACATCAATGGTCACGATGGTCAATAACAACACACAAAGGAAGGTTGGAACGAGCATTGCAAAGGAGGAATAGGAACATCTTCGAAAAGTCTTAAAGCGCTTCACAGAATATACTGTCAAGTGGAGTGACTGTGTATTTTCTGGGCAAAACGCGGCAGCTATTAATAAAATTAAAAGAAAAAAAGTAGCTTGTTATGGTCTTATATTGCTGTGTAGTTTCCCCGTCTGGGCCCTGCTCAGGTGGACGTTAAAGATCTCTTGCGGCACTATCGGGAAATAGAGGGGAGTTTTTCTCTCTCTGTCCCGGTGTCCTAGGAACATAGGGGGATGATACAAGACGTGACGATCAGGGCAATCAAAAGGTGGAGCAGGCTTGTGGAAAGGGTGGATGGGTCCAGTTGCTGAGTTACTGGAGTGGGAATACGGTGAGTTGGGGATTCCTGGAGGATGAGATACTAATATTCCTTGCATTTGATATACAGCCTTATCACATCTTCGAGATGTCCTAAAGCACTTCACTGTATATTGTAAAGTGAATTGACTATATAGTTTGTGGGCAAACGCAACAGCCAATTGCGCTCAGCAGTGTTCCACAAACAGTCGTAGCTTGTGTGACCAAGTTATTAATATTATTATTTTGAGCGGGTTAATACCCCGGGCAAAGCGATCTGCTAATCAACTAATAACCGGGTTCCTGCTTACTGCATGAGGTTCCAAGCCTCACCCCATTGACTTCAAGGTGGTGAGAGCAACGTGCCAAACAACGACTGGCTCACCTTGCTTGGCCGCGCCTCCGTTGAGGTAAGGCCTCAGCAGAAGTTGTAGTGCGGCCGGGTGATTGATGTTGTTGATGATGTGCAGGGGGTTGGGCTCAGGAAGCAGCCCCTTCCTGCTGGTCAGAAGCTTTAACAATAGGTTTTAAAACAGAAAACGTCAGCAGAGACCGGTTAACACAGCCCCCGCCTTCACCACTATACCTAACACAGCCCCCGCCTTCACCACTATACCTAACACAGCCCCCGCGTTCACCACTATACCCTAACACAGCCCCCGCCTTCACCACTATACCTAACACAGTCCCCGCCTTCACCACTATACCTATCGCAGCCCCCGCCTTCACCACTGTACACCTAACACAGCCCCCGCCTTCACCACTATACCTAACACAGCCCCCCAACCCCGCCACCTCCACCACTGTACCGTGTGATACAACACCTGCCTCAAACAGTGATAGATAACCAGTGCATCTAAACAACAAATAACACAAATGACACTAAACAACAACAAATTATATTTACATGGCGCCTTTCACATTGGAAGGGCATCCCAAGGTGCTGGACAGTTAAGGGTTTTTTCACCTGAGCTGGGGGTTGGAAACAAGAGGGCTGGAGGTTGGAGGGGCTGTGGGGGGGGGGGGAGGGAGCAGTGGGGGTTTGGGTGGGTCACCGAAAAAATGATCAAAGCGGCAGGTCTTGAGATGGGCCCTGTAGGTAAAAGAGGCAACCGTTTTGTGCACAGCGACACCCCACATACAGCCATGAAATGAATAACCAAACAATCTGGGGGATTGTTTGCTTGGACACAGGGTGAGACAAATTCCTGTCTCTTCTGTCATAGCTTCACGGGATCTTTAATCTACATCTGACCCAGCACAGACAGGAGCTCTGTTAAACAGCTCAATCAAAGGTTCCCACCTCGGACAATGCTTGGCTCCCACCAGCACTCTGCTATCAGTCTGGACTGTGGGTAAACTTAAAAGTCCCCGACATGGGGGCTCGAACCCACAATGTTCTACTGCAGAGGCGAGAGTGAGAGCGAATGAGCCGCAGGCAGACACAACGTCACTGGTGCCGGGCACTGGGTAAAAGCATGGAATCTTTGGTCAACAACAACAACCTGCATTTACATGGCACCCCTCAAACAGGGTGGCGTCCCAGAGCGCTTGACAGTGGCGGAGCATGAATGAAGGACCAGTAGTGGTCCTTCATTTCATAATAATAATAATCCTTGCATTTGGTATCGTGTCTTATCACGTCGTTGAGACGTCTCACAGCACTTCACAGAATATACTGTAAAGTGTTTTGTAGGTGAAACGCGGCAGCAATAGTGCACAGCAGCGTCCTACAAACAGTCACAGATTAAGTAAACGTTGTGCAAGTTCCCTTACTCCACAGGCCTCCCTGTTTACCGAGCAGTAAGTAGGAACCCGGTTGTTAGTCGATTGGCAAATCGCTTTCTGGGGGAGGGGGTAAGATTCCCTTCCAAAAATAATAGTAATAATTTGGTCACTCAATCCACGACTGATTATGGGACACTGCTGTGCACATTTGGCTGCCGTGTTTCGTCCACAAAATATACAGTCACTTTAAAGTATATTGTGTGAAGAGCTTTGAGATGTCTCAAAGACGTGATAAGGTGCTAGATCAAATGCAAGGTGCTAGTTTAAATTATTATTATGGCTGTATGTGGGAGGTCGCTGGGTACCAAGTGGAAAGCATGGGCAAGGCTATCTTACCAAGCCCTGGGCAGCGATGAGCGCGGCCAGCGTGCTGCGGCCTGGGGGTCCCGGGGCACAGAACGACACCCGGATCCGACTGTTCCCCAACAGCATCCCGTCCAGCGCTCGCTGCACCAGCTCCGTCTGAGTGGCCGTCTCGTACTCCACCACCGCGAAGCCAGCCTGGCTGCTCGATCCCGGGGTCAGCTGCCGGGGAAATTCATAGATAGCGGGTCAGAAGAAATAAACAAGAGTTTTGGAGTGCCTTGTCTCTCTGAAACTTTTCACAGGATTTATTGTAAAGCATATTTGTGAGCAAACATAGTCATCGAGGTCTCCCAAATATTTATGAAGAGAATGAGCAATTAATCTGCGGGATTCTTGGCCGGTTCACCCAAGAGAAACTCTCTCTTTTTTGACGCCACCTTCTGACACAGAAGCAAGAGCGGTACCGACAGCCTGGTTTGTTACCGACAAGCGCAATGGGACATTCCGAGATTTACTCTTCCCTGAATAAAAAGAGTGCCCTCTAAATAGCGCGTGTCTGAGTTGCCGTGCCCCCACCCCCCCACTCTCTAACGGCGTCACGTACCTGACAGAAGACCGGTCGGTACGGCCGGGAGAGCAGTTGGGTCAGTTCCTCGGCGTCCCGGTAGTCGAGTGGTAGCTTATCTACACAAAGGCACTTGGAGTGAAGCAGATCGGCTGAGAGGTGATTGACGTCTGTCCACTGCACAGACAGCGTGCACGTCCCCAGCTGTTTGCCCATCAGTTCAGACTTGGCCCGAGCTGCTGAATCCTTCTTCATGTACTCCACGAAGCCGTAGCCCTTCGAGTGTCCTGTGGTCTCGCTGTACACCAGGAAACAGCGCTCCAGGTTCCCATACAGTCGCACTAGCTCCTCAAACTGCTCCTGGCTGTAGCACAGGGGGAGGTTGGTCACACACAGCAGCGTGTCTGTCGGCTGAAGCTGAACAGAGATCTCACGGCCCTGAAATTCCGACTGGTGGAGTTTCTGAATGGCATCTTGCGCTTGCTCACCGTTCAGCAGAGTCACAAAGGCTGAAAATAACAGAGGCATCAAATTTACACACTGGACAGAAGATCGAGCGCACATCTGATCGTTTCGCCCACAAAATACACAGTCAATTCACTGGAGTCCTGTAGCTCAGTGGTTGAGCACTCGCTTTGCAAGCTAGAGACCTGAGTTCAATTCCAGGCAGGGCGAAACCTTGGGCAAGTTTCCTTACTCCACACAGAGCCTAATAATAATCCCTCCAAAACCAAAACAATAATAATAAATTGGTCATTTTCAATCCATGACTGTTTGTGGGACATTGCTGTGCGCAATTGGCTGTCGCGTTCGCCCACAAATATACAGTCAATTCACTTTACAGTGTGTTCTGTGAAGCGCTTTGGGACGTCCTCCTGACGTGAAAAGCGCTACATCAAATGCAAGGATTATTATTATTATTATTATTTACAGTATATCCTGTGAAGCGCTTTGAGGTATCTCGAGGACATGATATGGCGCTATATCAACTGCAAGGATTATTTTCAAACATCGCCGCAGCAGACAGGACCTCAGCTTAACATCTCATCTAAAGGACGAAAGCTCATTCCTACAATGCATTGCTCCCCCCACTGCTACACTGGAGTGTCAGCCTAGACTGTGAGCTCAAAGTCACCCAGTCTGATCCCACTCACATCCTTCAACATTCCTTGATTCAATCTAACTCCAGCTTCCACAGTTTGAAAGAATGAGATACATGCCTCGAATTGATTGTGCAATTTATGAATACTTTCCAGCAGCTAAAAATCCACCCACCATATTTAGTGGATAAATGTACTGCATTGCTCTACTGAGCTACAAAGACCAGAAAGGCCACAGGTTCATGGACTGAATGGAAACAGCTGATAGTAGTTGGTGATTGAGAAAGTAATGGGGGAGTGGAGAAGGGAAGAGCTATAATGGCCCAATGGGGGGGAAATTAACATTGGGGGGAATCTTCCTCCCAATAGTGACTCCTGTTGCCAACAACAACAATAATAATAATCCTTGCATTTGATATAGTGGCTTATCCACACAGAGCCTAATAATAATCCTCCAAAACCAAAAACAATAATAAATTGGTCATTTTCAATCCACGACTGTTTGTGGGACATTGCTGTGCGCAATTGGCTGCCGCGTTCGCCCACAAATATACAGTCAATTCACTTTACAGTATATTCTGTGAAGCGCTTTGGGACGTCCTCCCGACGTAAAAAGCGCTATATCAAATGCAAGGATTATTATTATTATTATTATCATGTCGGTAAGATGTCGGTAAGATGTCTCAAAGTGCTTCACAGGATATACTGTAAAGTGGAGTGACTGTATTATTTGTGTGCGAAACCTGACCGGGTCAAGGATCTAGGCTCACATGTGAGAGGGGAAGGCAACAGACAGCACCTCAGCGCTTGTGGAACAATGCACACATCACCAGTCACTATGGCTGGGTTTGGTTGGGTTGAGGGGTGGTGGGGGAGATAGAATGATCTCTCCATTGAAAATAGAATAGGTGCTCACAATGAATGCAGCAAATTTCTCTCACGTCCACACACATGCACTAGTCTAGAAACCTGTTCAAACCAATGGCGCGGGGCCTGACTTTTCACCTACATGCTCTTTGTCAGGTCAATGATAACTCAGAACCCGCAGCCAATGCCTCCTGCCCGTGGCACTCGCTCACTGTCCAATTGATGGGTTTTGATGAGTGCACAGGACCTCGCTTTCCAAAGCAGGTCACAAGGCCTGAAATCCATTGACAAGCGCTGTGGGCACCGCGGTGAGAGATCAAGTGACGCCCACACGCTGGGTTTGGGGGGTGGGGGGTGGGTGTTGTGGGGGCGGCAGTGTGATAGCTGCTAAAACAGCCAGGGGAAGGTTTAACGTACAACCAGGCAAAACTGAGGCACTCAAAATCATAGGATTTCCCAGGACAGTGCACAATGCTGGCCTCTGGATAAACTCTGGATTTTAGTAACATTTAATAATAATAATAATCCTTGCATCTGATATAGTGCCTTATCACATCCTTGAGACGTCTCAAAGCGCTTCACAGGATACATGGTAAAGTGGATTTACCACGTACTTTGTGGGCGAGACGCGGCAGGCGACTGCACATATGCCGAGGCCTTAGCAACCCTCTGTGCCAGCCTCTCTCCCTTTGGTAATGACCTTACTGAGAGAGAATTCAATGACTTCAGCTTTAGGCTGTGAGAGACCGAGAGCCATGTTGAAGGACCTGGAAACTGCCTCACTCTATAAATTCAGAGTTTCACAAATTGAGCGTTGTTTAATTGCCAGCAAAGCTCTCCTTGGAGTGAGTGGGGCCGAGAGAGGCCAACGGAAGAGTTGGGAAGACTGAAAGGAGCGTGCCCCACAGTGCGCGGTTGTCACGGCTACACAGGCCGTGACGTACTGGATATTTTCTTCCGACTTCCCCCTTTTTCTATGCTTTGCAATGCTGCCAACAATCCCCCGGATATCCAGCTTACGCAGCATTGCCTGTGGTGTAAACAGCAAGCACAGAGGTCAGTGACACACTCAGTGACACCTCTCCCCATTGTAGTGAGTCAGTCACACTCGCCCAATTGCCTCAGTCTGCACACATCAGGTGCTGTGTAACACAAACCTTCTCAACGAGAATAATATTGAGCGTTCCTCTGGAACCAATCCTGGTGTTCAATGGGAATGATTTGATCGGATTTAATTGATTTTTTTTGGGGGTCAGCCGGGTGTTGACACACGCAGCGACCCATCGCCTTTGCTTAAGAGTCTCGAAACCCAACTGAGAATTCCACGCATCCCACCTACACGTGGAAATCCCAGAGATAGATAGCTGGAATGGAATGTGCGCGCTCTCCCTGGAGAGACACGTCCTGCTTACCTAATTCCTGAAAGCATTAGGTGCAGGTCAGCAAGAGCCAAGGCTTGGGGACCTCAGAGTGTGCTTTGGGGTAACGCTGGAGTCTAATCAGCTTAAAAACACACAGCTTGTCATTGAGAGGGCAGTCTGCCGAGCTTTCCTGATGCTTGTCCAGCTAGCACCACCCTACCCAATAGAGCTTTGACTTTCAGGGTTAACAGGAGCTGAGTTAATTGATAGGAAAGGCCACATCAAATAAGGTTGTGAGTGGTGGTGGGGAGGGTGCAGAGGAGGAAGGAAATTCTATTTAAAGCACCATTTTTTTTTGGGGGGGGGGTGTGGAGCAGAGCAGTGAAAGAGCTGTGAGCCAGTGGTCTGTCATGGTGAATAATCTACCAATAGTCTACAAACACTCACCACCTAAGATCATCCATGAAAAATGGCTGGCTGAGCTATCCCCAAAGAGTACAGGCTTTCAGGAGATGAGATAAAAGGTGTAGGGGATGGTGAAGTGTTGGGGAAGTGGAGCAAAACTAAGAGAGGAATATGCTGCTCCCAACTTCACACCAGATCCCTCACTTAACAAAGTAAAGGTTAGGAATTTGTTCACAAATATACAGCCAATTCACTTTACAGTATATTCTGTAAAAGCTCTTTGAGATGTCTTGAAGACATGAAAAGCGCTCTATCAAATACAAGGATGATGTATGTTTCTGTGGTTTGGTTAGATCCCGGTGGGGCAGGGGCTGCTCTCCAGCACTCTGAGAAGCCAAGGAGGAGATGGGAAAGTCTGAGGAGGGGTAAAAGATGGAATGACATTTACACAGTGAAGCAGATTACAGCTGGACCAGGTTTACTATTCAATCCAATGTAACCTAAGCCCTGCTGAAGACCCTCCCGTCCCTCCTCCCTTAGGGCAATTAGCACCTTTACACCCTGACACGCTAACCCTCTCACTCCCCCCAGGCCAATAGGCACAAATCTACCCACCACGTCCTTGGAAACCATTATAATAATAATAATCTTTGCATTTGATATAGCACCTCATCATGTCTTCGAGATGTCTCAAAGCACTTCACAGGATATACTGTAAAGTGAATTGACTGTTTTGTGGGCAAAACGTGGCAGCCAATCACACAGAGCAGTGTCCCACAAACAGACGTGGATTGAGTGACCAAATAATAATTATTTTTTTTAAAGTATTATTACCCTGGGAAAAGCGATCTGCTAATCGCCGAATAACTGGGTTCCTCCTTACTGCTAGGTGAACAGAAGCATGTGGAGTAAGAAAACTTGCCCAATGTGTCGCCCTGCCCGGGAACCAAACTCAGGTCCTCTCGCTTACAGGACAAGTACTCTAACCACTAAGCTACAGGGCTCCACGGTGGCACTATATTGTTGTGTGTAACAGAGATTAAAGCTTGTATACAGTTCACAAAGAACTGCAACCATTCTCTCACTGTTCTGTCACCTTTATAAAATGTCAAAAGAAAGGCAGGCAGGTCTGGTGATTTGCCACAAAGGCACGCAGCGAGCTGTTACTGGGTGAAATGAGGCAGGTTAAGGAAAAGGGCCTGTGGTAATGAGGGCTCCCAAGGCGAGGGTTGTTACGTGGATGGAATGATCTAAGTCAAGGTCTAAGTCTAGCTCCAGAGCCAATTCTGCATGGAATGAAGGCCTAGAGACAAAGAGGGAGAGAGAAACGAAACAGAAAAAAACTGACAGAGAAAAAAGCTAACAACAATATGGTGCCCTTGACATGGGGTATCATATCTCAGAAAGCTTGAAAAAGAGAGGCAGACAGAATGAGAGTGAAAAAAATACACACATGTACAGAGAGAGAAACACATACACATACATATGGAAGCCAAGAGAGAGAAAAAACATAAAGAGAGACAGTGAAACAGAAAGAAAACATTTGAGGTTACAACATGAAGGCAAATAAATATTTGTGTTGGATGGTATCTGAAGAGCAATATTTACGTCGGTAGATTCTCATTGGGGAGATGAATTAATAGCTGCACTGGGAGCTATCTATGTGATGTAATGATATTGACCTCAGGGCCTGTGGAAAGGCAGCACAAGTTGCTATGAGAAAGACACAGGGAAATAACCTCATTGTATCCAGGCCTCAGTCAGGAGCACATGGAAACTGGGTTTCTCAGTGCCCTGCCTGTCTATGACACCGCACACAGCAGATCCCTTTAAATATCCATCCAGCTCCCTTCGAAATCTCCTGATCCGTTCTGCCCTCTCCCGAGCACTGTGTCTCATTCTCATGTCCTGTGGTTGATTTTTCACCTGCATTGGGAGGAAACCCTCTCACTCAGTCTCTTGCCTCCGGGGGTTGAGACACGAGTGAAACAGCTAATGGAATTCCACTGTGGACAGGGACCCGCTCAGTCCGTTACTCTGCAGCGTAGCCAACAGCCCGAGGGACTGGAACTCACCGGTGCCTTTGTTCTTGTCCACGTAGCAGTACTTCAGCTCATAGTCTGCCAACAGCTCATGCACTTCCTGAAACAAGGAAGATAATAATAATAATAGTTGTATCTGATATCGCGCCGTCTCAAAGCGCCTCTCAGGGGATGGGTGAGGTTGTGAGTGAGAGGGTGGGAGGGTGCGGAGTTAGGAGGGTGGGGAGAGGGTTGCAGGTGGGTGAGGGGGTGGAGGAGGAGGGGGTAAGGGGGGGGAAAGGGAGTGGGTGAGGGGATGGAAATAGGTTTGAGAAGGGGGTTAGGGAGAGGGGATTAGCGAGTGCTTAAGGTGAGGGAGTGGGGGAGTGGGGTTAGTGAAGGAATGGGTGAGGGTATAGGGGGAGGGAGGGGGAGTAGGGGAGGGAGGGGCAGGGAAGGGGTAGGGAGCTGGGGGAGTGGGGGGGGTTAGGAGGAGAGGGTGGGTGTGAGGGTGTGTGGTTAGGGGGTAGGGAGTGGGTGTGTGAGGGGGTGGATGAGGGGAGAGGGCGGGGGTCGTGATGCGAGAGGGTTAGTGAGGGCGTCTGGGGGTGGGGGGGGAGTGGGTGAGGGAGTGAGAGGGTGTGTGTGTGAGGGAGTGGGTGAGGGAGTGAGAGGGAGTGGGTGAGGGAGTGAGAGGGAGTGGGTGAGGGAGTGGGTGAGGGAGTGAGAGGGTGTGTGTGAGGGAGTGAGAGGGAGTGGGAGTGAGAGGGAGTGGGTGAGGGAGTGAGAGGGTGTGTGTGAGGGAGTGGGTGAGGGAGTGTGTGAGGGAGTGGGTGAGGGTGTGTGTGAGGGAGTGAGAGGGTGTGTGTGAGGGAGTGGGTGAAGGAGTGAGAGGGAGTGGGTGAGGGAGTGGGGGGAGTGGGGAGGGGAGTGGGTGAGGGAGTGGGTGAGGGAGTGGGTGAGGGAGTGAGAGGGAGTGGGTGAGGGAGGGAGTGGGTGAGGGAGTGGGTGAGGGAGTGGGTGAGGGAGTGGGTGAGGGAGTGAGAGGGAGTGGGTGAGGGAGTGGGTGAGGGAGTGAGAGGGAGTGGGTGAGGGAGTGAGAGGGAGTGGGTGAGGGAGTGGGTGAGGGAGTGAGAGGGAGGGAGTGTGTGAGGGAGTGAGAGGGTGGGTGAGGGATGTGAGAGGGAGTGTGTGAGGGTGTGTGTGAGGGAGTGTGTGAGGGAGTGGGTGAGGGAGTGGGTGAGGGAGTGAGAGGGTGTGTGAGAGGGAGTGGAGAGGGAGTGTGTGAGGGAGTGAGAGGGTGTGTGTGAGGGAGTGTGTGAGGGAGTGGGTGAGGGAGTGTGTGAGGGAGTGGGTGAGTGTGTGAAGGAGTGAGAGGGAGTGTGTGAGGGAGTGTGAGGGAGTGTGTGAGGGAGTGTGTGAGGGAGTGTGAGGGGTGTGTGAGGGAGTGTGTGAGGGAGTGAGAGGAGTGGGTGAGGGAGTGAGAGGGGTGGGTGAGGAGTGGGTGAGGGAGTGAGAGGGAGTGGGTGAGGGAGTGAGAGGGAGTGGGTGAGGGAGTGAGAGGGTGTGTGTGAGGGAGTGAGAGGGTGTGTGTGAGGGAGTGTGAGAGGGTGTGTGAGGGAGTGGGTGAGGGAGTGAGAGGGTGTGTGTGAGGAGTGTGTGAGGAGAGTGTGAGAGGGAGTGAGAGGGGAAGGGGGTTAGTGAGGGGGTTAGTGAGGGGTGAGTGAGGGGGTGTGTGAGGGAGTGTGTGAGGGAGTGTGTGAGGGAGTGTGTGAGGGAGTGTGTGAGGGAGTGTGTGAGGGAGTGTGTGAGGGAGTGTGAGGGGAAGGGGGTTAGTGAGGGGGTGAGTGAGGGGGTGAGGCCGGTGTCATGGCCGGTGCCGGGTACCTGGGGGCCGGTGCCGGGCACCAGGCTCTTGATGAGGATCTTGCGGCGGTTGCTGAGTTGGCTGCGGGTCCGCTCGAGCCGTCGCTCCACTTCCAGCGGCTCCAACGGTTGCCACTCGCCCGCTCCGTCCCCGGCCGCCGCCGCCGCCATCTTCCTCCCGCCGCCGCCGCTCAGTGTCCGCGCCGCCCACAGCGCCCCCCGCGGCCGCTCCCACACTGCGGCCCTCCCCCCCCCCCACACAGCGCCCCCCGCGGCCGCTCCCACACTGCGGCCCTCCCCCCACACACACACAGCGCCCCCCGCGGCCGCTCCCACACACACACAGCCCTCACCCCCCCCCACACAGCGCCCCCCGCGGCCGCTCCCACACTGCGGCCCTCCCCCACACACACACACACAGCGCCCCCCGCGGCCGCTCCCACACTGCGGCCCTCCCCCCCACACACACAGCGCCCCCCGCGGCCGCTCCCACACTGCGGCCCTCCCCCCTACACACACACACACACACAGCGCTCCCGCGGCCGCTCCCACACTGCGACCCTCCCCCCCCACACACAGCGCCCCCCGCGGGCCGCTCCCACACTGCGGCCCTCCCCCCACACAGCGCCTCCCGCGGCCGCTCCCACACTGCGGCCCTCCCCCCACACAGCGCCCCCCGCGGCCACTCCCACACTGCGGCCCTCCCCACCACACACACACACACACACACAGCGCCCCCCGCGGCCGCTCCCACACACACACAGCCCTCACCCCCCCCCACACAGCGCCCCCCGCGGCCGCTCCCACACTGCGGCCCTCCCCCCCCCCTACACACACACACAGCGCCCCCCGCGGCCACTCCCACACTGCGGCCCTCCCCCCTACACACACACACCAGTGCCCCCCGCGGCCGCTCCCACACTGCGGCCCTCCCCCCACACAGCGCCCCCCGCGGCCGCTCCCACACTGCGGCCCTCCCCCCCCACACACACAGCGCCCCCGCGGCCGCTCCCACACTGCGGCCCCCCCCCACAGCGCCCCCGCGGCCACTCCGGTCACTACAGTCTCACTTGCCCTCCTTCCCTCTGTGTTCCAATCCCTTCCCTGTGGCACCTCCCGCCCTCTCCGCCCTCCTCACTCCCCAACCCCCCGCCTCCTGCGCGCCCCTCGCACCCTCCGCTCCATCATTGGCGGTCGCGCTTTCAGCCACTACCCCCCCTCCGCAACTCTGGAACGCCTCTCGCTCAACCCCTCCGCCCCCTTTGCCCCCTCTCTCTCTCTCTCTCTCTCGCCCCCTTTTTCCAAGTCCCCCGTGAAAACCTTCCCTTTTCCGGCCGCGCTCATGGTCAGGCTCCGTCCGTCACTGTTAAGCGCTCTGAGGCGCTGTTCAGCCCTGGAGGGCGCTATATAATAATAATAATAATAATAATCCTTGCATTTGATATAGCGCTTTTCACGTCCGGAGGACGTCCCAAAGCGCTTCACAGAACACACTGTAAAGTGAATTGACTGTATATTTGTGGGCGAACGCGGCAGCCAATTGCGCACAGCAATGTCCCACAAACAGTCGTAGATTGAAAATGACCAATTTATTATTGTTTTGGTTTTGGAGGATTATTATTAGGCTCTGTGTGGAGTAAGGAAACTTGCCCAAGGTTTCACCCTCTGCCTGGAATTGAACTCAGGTCTCTCACTGGCAAAGCGAGTGCTCTAACCACTGAGCAAGTTGCTGTTGTACGTAGACTATAGTTTAGGTCACTTGCCCTCCTGGGTTTAGGTTCGGGCCCCACGTCGGGGGCTGTGTGTGAGAGCTCACAGTCAGGGCAGAAGCCCCAGCGTGGCCCACGTTGGGCGGAGAGAATCGCCGCAGCGTCAAAGAGACGCCGTCCTTCTGACGAGCCGTTGAAACCTCACTCCCCGGGGGAGTCTGTGCCCTGTTCAGGCGGACGGTAAAGCTCCCCGCGGTGCTCGGGTTGCCAACCGTCCCAAGCTTGTCCCGGAGTCCCCGGGAATTAAAGATTAATCTCCCAGACGTGACTGCGAGCGGGGAAGGAGAACAAGCAAAGGGAATTCTTGGGGCTTAGGGACATTATTGGGATTTTGCCGCACTTTACAATCTGAGATGTTAAGGTGAAGTCAGCACCGTCTCACTTTGCGATAGCACTTCTTCCTCCCAGAATCTGTCCAACCAGAGTTGGCAACCCTGCATGGCCTTGTTGGAAAAGCCAAGGGAATTTCTCTCTCTCCTGGTCTCCTGGACAACAGATAAAATTGCTCACACAAGCAGTGTTTTTGGGGGCAGTGCCAAATGGAGTCCTGTAGCTCAGTGGTTAGAGCACTCGCCTTACAAGCGAGACACCTGGGCTCAATTTCAGGCAGAGGGCGAAACCTTGGGCAAGTTTCCTTACTCCACACAGAGCCTAATAATAATCCCTCCAAAACAAAGCAACAACAAATGGGGTCATTTTCAATCCACGACTGTTTGTGGGACGTTGCTGTGCGCAATTGGCTGCCGCGTTTCGCCCACAAATATAGTCAATTTACTTTACAGTTTATTCTGTGAAGCGCTTTGAGACGTCGAGAAGACGTGAAGAGCGCTATATCAAATGCAAGGATTATTATTTATTTAATAATGACTTGTGGTCAAAAGCACCAGGGGTTTGGGTACAGCAAAGTGATCCGGCAGCCAGACACCCGCAGAGAAATTCCCTTCTCTCTTCCAACAGTTTGCACTGCAAATCTAAGCACATTTGCCTACAAAACACAGTCACTACAGTTTACAGTAAATCCCGTGAAGCACTTGGGAGACAACAAATTACTTTTGCATAGGGCTTTTCATGTCAGCAGGAAGTCCTAAAGCATTAGACAGTCAAGGTACTGTGTCGGATGCAATATTTACATGATTTCCATTTATCGTTGGAGGCTTCGCAGCTGAACCCTCTTCTCGAGAGGTTCTGGTTCAGGAGAAATTACACAGGCAAACAGACAAACCACACACAACGCCTCTCCATCAAAACACTTTTTTAATTAAAAGATACAGATTTCCAGTTTTTAGGTAAAATTACATTGAGGGTAGATAGTCACTAAGCACTCCGCTTCCTAACGTGGAGATAAAAGGAGATTAATCCAATATTTATCTATTTACATCTGTAAACATTAAATTACGCTGTGGTGAGAGCCCACCCATGTGGGGGCAAGATTCCATCGCCAAAGGCTTCCCAAAGAGAAGCCAAACCCAATGGAGTTGCCAATACAACATACGTACACAGTGTGGAGTCCTGAACAGACACAACGCAGTCGTTGATAGACAGAACGTAATTGTAAATATGAAGTCCGGTCGTGAACAGATATGATAGTCGTGAACACGAAGGGTGCAGTCGTGAGCACACATTAAGTCGACACTTTACACGTGACACGTGATAGGTACACATCACGATGGAGTGAATTTAACACTGATTATCCAGACCCACAATCACCAGAAACCAGGGTGCGGCAAACAGATGGTCAATTCAACACATCAAAAAATATATATATCTATTCAAGACAAAGGGAGGGTGACAGAAAGATTTAATACCACTAACACTCTCTTTTGAGGCCAAAAACAGACCCAAAACGGCGCTGGGAGCAAGTGACTGATTTCAAATAGATTTGAAAACATGACGTTATTTTACTGGAGTTTGAGATGTGCTCAGCAGACAACTGAGGAAAATAACAGCCATTTTGATTTTATAGCATACACCGGAGATGTGGTCGCCTTAAAACCCGCTCAAAATACTCAGCCTGAACAAAAGGAAAATAATACATTTCCAATTTCTCTTTGTATATCTTTTTCAGATTTTTCCCCTCCTTCATTAAAATTTTCAAGACTGAGGTGGATAGGTCAGGGTATCAAGGGCAATTGGAGTTGAGGTACAGATCAGCCATGATCTTGTAGAATGGTGGAACAGGCTTGAGGGGCTGAATGGCCTCCTCCTTTTCCAGAAGGGGGAAGGAAATGTGTGATGTTTCTATCAGGAGGTGACAAGATTACAACAAGCTGCATTTATACAGCGACTTTCACGTTGGGAGGACGTCCGGAGCGCTGGAGATTCACAGATTCTCTCTCCCTCCCCATCCCTCGCTGTCGCCTTCCCTCATCCCCTCTCCCGCCTCCTCTTTCTGGGGGAACAGTTCACTGGCTGATGGGACTCTCTCTCCCAGGAGTGTGTTTTACAGAAAGGGAAATTCTCAAACATGAGGTTAATGAGCAATGAGGCTGTAAATGTCACTTTGTGCTAATTTGCGAGGAATTACCAAATCACAACAATAATAATATTTCTTGAATTTTATATAGCGCCTTATCAGGTCGTTGAGACATCTCAAAGCGCTTCACAGAATATACTGTAAAGTGGAGTGACTGTGCATTTTGTGGGCAAAATGAGACTTTCCTCCCTCTCTCGCTCTCTGCACAACTTGTGCTTTCCACATAAAAAAAACTGCCTCTAAGTGCTTCCCAGAGATAAGAGAAATAAGCCTGATGATGGGCAATGGGGTAAAGGGGAGGAAGGTTTTGCTTTATCTAGGATAAGCAATAAAAATAATAATCCTTGCATTTGATTTAACGCCTTATCATGTTCTTCAAGACGTCTGAAAGTGCTTCACAGTATATACTGTAAAGCAAATTGATTCTATTTTGTGGGCAAAACGCGGCAGCCAATTGCACACAGCAGCGTCCCACAAACAGTGCTCTAACCACTGAGCTACAGGACACCACTGAAGCTCAAGCGATGGAGATTTTGGGATTTACGAAGCGACTGGTTCACTGAGAACTCCCACCCCATGAAACTATTTTGGGACGTCCTCCCGACGTGAAAGGCGCTATACAAATGTAATCTAGTAGTTGTTGTATTTTACACAGCAAAGCTTTGTGACACAGGTCAGAACAGAAACAGAAACAGCTCACACGGAAACCACACTTCTTTTGAGACTTGATAACTCTTGAGGTTCGAAACAAAGGACTGAACTCACTGGGGATTAAAAAAATCTATTTTCTAAGGTTCACACGTCAATATATAAAAAAACACTGGCAAACAAGTCGTTCAACTCACATAAAAATAAAAAAATTTAAATTTACAATCTCATAAAACAATTCTTTCAGAGAAGCCGGGAGGTAGAGAGGAAGGCTGGGGAGTTAGTAGACCTTCTGCATTCTCTCTCTCTCTCTCTCTCTCTCTCCGACACTTCAATCAGCAGCAGCAAAGTGAATAAAGACATTTCCAATAAACTGTACAGAGTGTCCACAAAGTCCTGTTACCTGTTACAACAGTCACAATAAGACTGTGGAGGAGCCGAGACAAACTGTCAGAGGTGCATTTTCGCCCTCGTCACTGACTCCATCCATGTTACAGAAGATGTGGCACCGAATAGGGTGACGGATCATTCTCTGCCCTGAAAATGACGGTGCTAACACACACTCACTCACAACGGCCCTCTGGACATCCAAATACAGTTAAATACTTGTACTGAATACAACTAAGTACTACTAAACACAATGATCATCATTCTTCCACATGTTCCAGTTGTTGGTCAGTGCACAGTAGAAAAAACATGGGGGTAACAGGACTTTGTGAAACACCCTGTACACACCACATCCGACCCGGACATTGTTGGACAGGTCTCTCGCTCCCGCGATCCCGACGGCGTTGTTGCTTTCTCCGAGCTGTGAAACGACTCCCTCGCTTCCGCTCCCTCTCTCCTCCCTCAGCCGTCCGCCCGCCAACACGTTCCGTCTTGTACGGGACTGGGCTGTTTGATCCCACGCTGGAACGTCACAACACGGCTCCCGCTCTTCTTCCGGGAAATGCTGGGCGGCTTCGGGATCACGGAACACTGGGATCTCTCCATGGCGCCAACCAGAAGACGATTTACCGACAATCTCTCAAGTCATCGTGATCAGCAGCCAAACACACAGACTGTCTGTCCATCCGTTAAGCAGTCAGTCTTCGGCGTACATTTTTTTTCCCTTTTCATTAATATATTCCTATTATATATAATATATATATATATATAAAAACATCAGTTTCGTTTCACTCCATCTCCTCCTCTTCCCCACGAGGAAAAAAAGTCTTGGCTTTTTTGTCCCGTCCAAACAAAAGTTCAATAAATAGTAGAAAAATAATCCTTTATTGTGTTAAAAAAAAATCTGAGCTGCCTGCCAAGTCCGTTTCCCACCTCCAGTCCCAATCCCAATCCTGGAAAATCCTGTTCCGATCATTTTCCCCGTGGATCCTTGTTTTTCCAACCCCAATCCCCGTTTGGATTGTGTTTTTAGGGAGGGGGGGGGTGGTTTGGAAGGAGAAGAAAACACACCAAGGAGATCCTCGGAATTCCTTGCGATCAAGTGGTGGGTGGTGGTCTCGGTAGTGTTGGTGGTCTCGGTGGGGGTTGGAGGAGGAGCGGGGTGGGTGGTCTCAGCACTCGGCGTCCACAGTGTGCACCGTGACGGCAGCCTGTAGGTGGTGGAGCTGGAGCTGGTGCTGGTGTTGGTGTTGGTGGAGCCGGTAGGGACCGGGCTTGTGGCTGAGCAGGGCTGTGGTCTGGGGCGGGGCCTCCAGCTCCCCCTCCTCTTCGTGGTTGCCCACGTCCACCCCGGCCGACAGTGGGTCATTGTTACAGGGCGGGTTCTCGCTGTCCTCCTGTGGGCTCATGGTGCTGTAGCCTGTGGGCCATGAGAGGTTAACCCCCCGCGATGGGATACCCCCCCCCAGCCATGCTCTCCCCCCCACCCACCCCCCACAGGTTAGACTCTCCCTCCACTCATTTTAGGAGTATGAGTAAAGGGCAGCTAAATAAGAGAGAGAGAGAGATAGAGGAGTTAGAGGAAAGAGAGAGTGAATGAGGGAGAACAAGGGAAGAGATTGGAGGGGAGGGAGAGAGAGAGAGAAAACGAGGGGGAGCGGCGGGGAGAGACAGAGAGAGAGAGAGAAGAGTGAGAGAGAGAGAAAGATAGCGAGAGAGAGCGAGAGGGAGGGAGTGAATGAAAAAACGAGAAAGTGAGCGCAGGGCATGAGGGAGGGGGCCCAGCTGAGGGCTCTCATGGTAACCAGAAGCAGGCTGAGGTCGGGGAGGGAGTGTTGACCGTATGGCAGTGATGGTGAAGCCGGTGCTTACCGTGGTCGCTCTCTGTGCCGGACCGGCCCCAGTACCGGCGACGGCGTTCCGGGCTGTGCGCGTGTCGGTCAATCACAGCCGCGATAAACCTGGTGTTACTGACTGTCAAAACAGGGGGCGTAGGAGGGGAGAATAATAATAACAAATACAAGTAATAATAATCCTTACGTGTGACAGAGCGTCCCATCACGTCATTGAGACTTCTCAAAGCGCTTCACAGGATACGCTGTAAAGTGGAGTGACTGTGTGTTTTGTGGGCGAAACGCGGCAGCCAATTGCACATAGCAGTGGAATGAGTGACAGCATTTTTTTTTGAGGGATTAATACCCCCAGAAAAGCCAATCACCTAACAATTGGGTTCCTGCGTACTGCTAGGTAAACAGAGGCCTGTGGAGTAAGGAAACTTGCCTAAGTTATTGCCCTCCTTGGGAATCGAAACCCGGGACCTCTCGCTTACGTGGCGAGGGCGCTAACCACTGAGCTACAGGACTCCGACATAATACAACAACAATTGTAGATGTTCATTATACACAAGGTTTGAAACAAGAAGTAGCTGGTGTCAGCCCGGCTCAGTCACCCTCGTCAACCGCAGGAAAAACTGAACAGGGCACTGACGGGAAGTGAGGTTTATCGTCTCCTCTGAAGGATGGCGTCTCTGATCGCATAGCGCTCCTCCCCCACCTCCCCCAACGCCAGCCTGGACTGTGAGCTCAGAGGCCCTGAGATGAGAGATCCCCCCCACCACCCCTTGCCGGAGGCGGGAGCAGAGACACTCACTGATTCCTCGGTCCTCGTGACTGTCTTCATCTCGCTCGTCTCGCTCGTTCTCCAAGTTGGACATTCGCACCGACATCTCTACACAGAGAATACAATAGTCATGCCTCAGCTCAGGGGGTCGCAAACGACTCCCCCCATCTCAAGCCCCCCAACTCCCCTCCCCGGCTCTCCCCCTCGGCCTCCCTACACTCCCCCCGCGCACCCGGAGTGCTCACCCCCGTCCCCCACCCACTGCCTCAGCTCAGCTGTCTCTGGCCTCCTGTTCGTCCTTCATCCCCTCCGCTCCACCATCAGTGGCCGTTCCCTCAGTCCCTACGCCCCAAAACTCTGGAACTCTCTCCCTCAGTCCCTCCGCCTTGCCCCCTCCCCACTTACAAATCCAGCCTTCCTTCTTGATCGGGCTTATGGTCACCTCCCCCCTCCCTCTGCCCCTGGCTCGGGGTCAAACTCCGCCACTGTCAAACGCTCCGGGACGCTACCCCACGTGAAGGGTGCAAGTTGTTGTTGACCCTTCCCTCTCTGTACCCCCCACCCCACTCCGTGTCTTCCTCCCCCTCCTGACTCCTCTCCTGTGCTGAAGTCAGGCCTCGCGGTTGCCCGGTGACGGCTTACCCTGAGCCGCGAGCGGTGACATGTGCTGGTGGCTCCTGCGGTGGATCTGGTGACGGTAAGCGTAGACGGCCAGCACCAGCACCATGATACATCCCATAATACCCCCCGCCACCGGCCCCACGGGGGCGCTCTTTATCATGTTCAGGGCAATGACCTCGTCACCTGGAAGGGGGGGGGCGGATGGGGAAAGAGAGAGAGAGAGAGAGGGGGAGCGAAGTAATCAGGCAGCACAGGCACCAAATTCCATCCAGTCTGAGACCTCAAATCGTCTTCACATTATAATATAATTACAATAATAATCCTGGCATTTGATACAGCGCCTTATCACGTCGTTGAGACGTCTCAAAGCGCATCACAGGCTATACTGTAAAGTGGAGGGACTCTGTGTTTTGTGGGCGAAATATTCCACATTACGTGAGATTATTAATAATATTAACTTTCAAAAACCCCTAAAACGGTCTCAATTTGTTTTTCTTCTAATACAAAATACAATACAAAATGACATTTAGATAGCGCCTTTCAGGAGGATTTGGACCTAAACTCTGTGGGTTGGGAGGGGTGGGGGGGGGGGGAGAGGTGTTAGGATCAGAGAGTGTGGAGGACAGGGAGGATAGGAGGGGCAGCCGAAGGCGTGGTCGAAGAGGAGGGTCGTGAGATGCGTGGATCTCCATGACCTGAAATGGCCATGTCCGTGTGAGACGCGCTATAGAAAATGCAAGCTGTTGTCGCTCACCCAGGGCGAGCATGTCGTCCATATAAGGGCTGTTGGCTCCCACGATCCCCCCAAAACACTCCTTCTGGGAGGCACAGTACGCCTCGTCCAGGTGGGTTTTGCCATCGCTCTCCACCATACACCACTCGCAGTCCAGCAAACCGATGCATTCCCTGCCCCGTCGAAAGGGAGAGACAGGGAGAGGAAGAGAGGGAGAGAGAGAGAGAGAGACAGAGAGAGGGAGAAAGAGAGAGAGCGGGTTACCCTGGAGCACAAATATATACACGCGCTGAAAGCTTCACCATCCAAGGATACACATTCCACCTTACTCAGCCAGCCAGAACTTTAACCCTCAAATACGCTTCCTACCCCACATCCGTGCCATGACCCCATCTGCCCTCCCCTACCTCCGCAACTGTCTCATACTGCAGGCCGCTGAGACCCTCATGCATGGATTCATAACATCCAGGCTCGACTACACAAACTCCTTGCTTGTCAGCCTCCCCAACTTCTCCATAGGCTGCAGATCATCCAGAACTCTGCAGCCCGTGTCCTCTCTTACACCAGGCTCCGTGACCCTATCACATTCTTGCCCGACTCCACTGACTTCCCATCACTCAGGAGATACAGTTCAAGATCCTGGTCCTCACCTTCAAAGACCTCCATGGCTTTGCTCCCCACTACCCCTGCAACCTTCTAACCCCCTATCATCCTGCCCACTCCATCCGCTCAGTGGGCTCCGGCCTGCTTCACGTTTTCCGCTTCACCAGCCCCACCATTGGCAGGCAAACCTTTTGCCATTCTGCTCCCACCCTCTGGAACTCCATCCCGCAGTCCCTCCGCCTCACCCCCACCCTTGCCTCCTTCAGGACCTATCTCAGACCCTCCTCTTCAACCGTGCCTTTGGTCATCCTCCTCCCCCTCCTGCCCTCCACCCACCTCGATCCCGACCCCCAGCTCAGGTCCGAAACACTGATTGTCCAACGCCTTGGGTCGTCCTCCCGACGTGAAAGGCGCTGTACAAATGTAATTTTGTTGTTGTTGTTGTCACGTCGCTGAGATGCCCCAAAGCCCTTCACAGAATATATTGTAAAGTGGAGTAACTCTATATTTTGTGGGTGAAATGCGGCAGCCAATTGTGCACAGCAGTGTCCCACAAACAGTCCTGGATTGAGTGATTGAGTTAATTTTTTGGAAGGGATTATTACCCCTGAAAAAGCGATCCACCAATCGATTAACAACCAACTTCCTACTTGCTGCTAGGTGCAGAGGCGTGTGGAATAAGGAAACTTGCCTAAGGTTTCGCCCTGCCCGCGAGTCGAATCGAGGTCCTTGCGAGGCGAGTGCTCTAACCACTGAGAGCTACAGGCTCCGCTCACACACAAAACCGTTCCCCACACAAACCTGCCGCGCTCTAATCCTACCCAGTCACAGGCTGATAAGCAGCCCCCCATCAGAGGGTCACACCGGGCCACATTCTTAGATTTTTCAAAGGGTTTACAAACACTGCTGTTCTTCCCCAAACCAAATTCCAAGAAGCCGGATCGGGGACAAAGGTGTGTGGCGTGTCTCCCAGTGCCTCTCCTCTGTTTCCGCCCCCCCCAACCCCCCACACCCTTACTCGAGCACACTTACCCCCTGACCTCTGATCTCCCTCCCTCCCCTGACCCGGGCACACCTAGCCCTGGTCTGACACAGGCACTTACCCGCTGGACGCTCTCTCCCGACACCGGGTGTTGATGCACTGGGGGAGGGTCTCCTGCAGCGTGGGGTCAAAGGCTGCCAGCGTCAGCGGCTCCTGGTGAACTTCACAGCTCGGGTTCCTGTCACACAGCAGCCGCCACAGGTTAGTGTTCGCCTCGCCATGTCTCACACACACACAGGGCCACTGACACAGATGCCCAGTGATTCTCACCTGTTCTCAGCGTTGGTCAGGTTGCCAGTACATTCGTTGACCTCCAATGGGCACTCACAGGGGCATTCGCACTCGTTCTGCTCCATTCTGCAGACAAAATACTCCATCACTCACTCGCCCATCGGCCCATGACCGCTCAAGCGAACCGAGTAACCCTGGGCCTCCCCCAAAACGAGTCACCAATCTTGGCCTCGCTCCCGATAGAGCTACACCACGCTATATAATAATAATAATAATAATCCTTGCATTTGATATAGCGCTTTTCACGTCGGGAGGACGTCCCAAAGCGCTTCACAGAACACACCGTAAAGTGAATTGACTGTATATTTGTGGGCGAACGCGGCAGCCAATTGCGCACAGCAATGTCCCACAAACAGTCGTGGATTGAAAATGACCAATTTATTATTGGTTTTGGTTTTGGAGGATTATTATTAGGCTCTGTGTGGAGTAAGGAAACTTGCCCAAGGTTTCGCCCTCTGCCTGGAATTGAACTCAGGTCTCCCACTTGCAAAGCACTTACTACTGAGCTACAGGACTCCACAAGTTTTGTTGTAGGATAGCGTGTGGGGATTCCTGAGGGTGGGAGCAGCCTGTGTGACATCCTCTATGTTCATTCGCAGGTGCTATATATATATATATATAGCTGAAATTCACAACGATTTCAACTGCACGGTACGTATATAGTGGGGGCCACGGTGTGGGACGTGCGGTAAAAAGCACGGTGTGTTGTGGTGGACAGAGCGTGGTGCTGGTAGCATGGAGTGGCACATTGGGTGGAGCGCGGGAGGTACATGGGGGGTGAGGGGAGTGAGTTGGGGGATTATGTGAGGGTGAGGGGATTGAGGTGGGGGTATGTGGGGGTGAGGGGAGTGAATTGGGGGTGTATGTGAGTGTGAGGGGACTGAGATGGGGGGTGTGGGGGTGGGGGGGAAAGGGACTGCGCCCAGGTTGGGAGGGGGCTACATGGCAGTGAGGGGAGCGAGGCCTGCCCGGTACTCACCGGTGGCAGTTGAGGCACAGCCTGTCCACCATGCTGCAGGCACAGAAGGCGAGGGCATCACAGGTCTCGTTGACGAGGCCCAGGAAGGTGTTGGTGCCGGGGATGCGTATCAGCCGGTACCGGGAACAATGGCTGCCGTGCACCAGGTTAGTCAGGTCTCCCTGTGTCACACACACACACATGTAAGCGGATACACTACCCACCCCGCTCATCAGCAACACTCCTCACTTTCCACCCCCACTTCCAGCGAACGAACAACCAAGCCGCAAAGACCCCGAGATAATAATAATCCTTGCATTTGATACAGCGCCTTATCATCTCGTCGAGATGTCTCAAAGCGCTTCACAGGGCATACCATAAAGTGGAGTAACTGTACATTTGGTGGACGAAATGCGGCAGCCAATTGCGCACAGCAGTGTCCCACAAATGATTGTGGATTGAGGGACCGCGATATTACTTTTTTTTTACTATTACTTTTGTTTTAACAAAAGGGATTATTACCCCGTACGGAGATCTGCCAAGTTCCTATTTATTGCTCGGTGAACAGGTGTGCGCAGAGTAAGGAAACTTGCCTACGGCTTCGACCTGCCCGGGAATCAAACCCGAGTCCTCTCACTTGTGAGGCGAATGCTCTTAACCACCATGCGACAGGATATCCCCTTCCTCTCCCTGGCCACCACCCCACCCCGAGCGCTGTGGGACTGTGCTCACCACGATGCTGGTGTTGAATTTGTAGAATCTCTGCACCGTCCGGTCGCTGAAACTGTTGCACAGATTTTTCTTGACGAAGTTGGGATGGTTTAAAATATCATTGGCCACCAGCGGCTCCTGCTCTCACACACAGAGAGAGTGTGAGGGGGGGAGTGAAGGAGCGTGAGGGGGGGGAGAGAGTGAAAGGGAGAGGAGGAGAGAGAGAGTGAAAGGGAGAGGGAGAGAGAGAGAGTGAGAGTGAGCGTGAGAAGGGAGAGAGAGTGAGCGTGAGAGGGGAGAGAGAGAGAGAGTGAGCGTGAGAGGGGAGACCGAGAGAGTGAGCGTGAGAGGGGAGACAGAGAGAGTGAGCGTGAGAGGGGAGAGAGTGAACGTGAGAGGGGAGACCGAGAGAGTGAGCGTGAGAGGGGAGACAGAGAGAGTGAGCGTGAGAGGGGAGAGAGTGAACGTGAGAGGGGAGAGAGAGAGAGTGAGTGTGAGAGGGAGAGTGTGAGAGAGTGTGAGGGGGAGAGAGAGAGTGAGTGTGAGGGGAGAGAGAGAGTGAGCGTGAGAGGGGAGAGAGAGTGAGCGTGAGAGGGGAGAGAGAGTGAGCGTGAGAGGGGAGAGAGAGAGAGAGAGAGAGTGAGCGTGAGAGGGAAGAGCGCGTGAGTGGGGAGAGAAAGTGAACGTGAGGGGGAAAGAGAGAGAAAGTGAAAGGGGGAGAGTGAGAGAGTGAGTGAGAATCGTTCACAGCATCTTGTCTGGCGCGCTTCACTGTCAATCAGTGCAGTGACTGGTTTTCCAGGCAAACGCGGCAGACATTTTTGATCACAGCAATGTTCCACAAGTATCCATCCTTACACTCAACGCCTATCACGTCAGGACGCCGTTTCACAAAATCTACTGCTAAGTGTAGTGACTTACCCGGGTTCCTACTTACTGCTCGGTAAACAGAGGTGTGTGGAGTAAGGAAACTTGCCCAACATTTCGCCCTGCCCCGGGAATCAAACCCAGGTCCTCTCGCTTGCGAGGCGAGTGCTCTATCCACTAAGCTACAGGACTCTCAAGGTTTGAGATGGCACCAGTACCTTGTGTGTGATGTGCTGTTGCTCAACCGGAGCGTGGCCTTTGGGGTCAATCAGTGTGGGGTGTGCCAGCAGGTAACCTTTGTCCTCCATTATAAAGCACCTGTGAGAGAGAGTGAGAGGGTAGGTGGATGGATCAGTCAGTCAATCAGAGGAAATGATACAGAGAAAGACACAGAATGAGAGTGTAAAACAGACAGAGAGAGACAGATTGAGTGAGAGACAGAGCGAGAGTGAGACAGAAAGTAGAGAGAGATAAAGTGAGATAGAGATTAAGAGTGACTGAGAGAGATAGACAGTGACAGAGTGAGAGAGAGAGAGAGAGAGACAGAGAGAGTGTGAGTGAGCGATAGAGAGACAAAGATAGAGAGAGTGGGAGTGAGACAGAGAGACAAAGAGAGAGAGTGTAAGTGAGATACAGAGAGACAGAGAGAGTGAGAAATAGAGCAACAAACAGAGATAGAGAGAGTGGTCCGTCAATGAATCATTACTCCTTCAGGAAGGTTCTTCCCTCCTCGTGTGCTGGTTTACTCACTAGCAAAGGTTAGCAGGTTGGTCAGGGTTGAGAGCTTACCTGATCTTGTTGCCGCCATCTTGGTTGCAGACGGGCAGCAGGTCGAGCAGCACCTTGTAGAAGTACCTCAGGGTGAAATCAATGCCCATGACAGCCACTGCGTGCCCGGGGGCCGAGAGAGAGCTGTGGGGGAGAAGGAACAAGCAAGAGGTTTGACCCAATGACTGGCCTCGCCCGCAAAGCTCTGTGTCCCCCATGACCCCCGTCCTCTCTCGGCTTCATTGGCTCCACATCCCCCAGAGGATAGAGTTCAAAATCCTCATCCTCGCCTTCAAGGCCCTCCACGGCCTTGCTCCTTCCTACCTCTATGACCGTTAACCCCATATCAACCTGTCTGGTCCCTCCGCTCAGCAGGTTCTGGCCTGCTTCACGTTCCACCACCTGGCCTGCCCTACCATCAGCAGTCAGGCCTCCAGCCTCACTGCCCCCACTCTTTGGAACTCCATCCCACTGTCCCTTGGCTTCACCCACTCCCTTGCCTCCTTCAAGGCCTGTCTCGAGACCCTCCTCTTGAATTGTGATGGGAAAAGTTGGCTGAGATTGAAAAGTGTATCAATGACTGTCGCAAACGTGGCTTTCCCAGTAACTGTCACAATCATAAAGATTCGGCTTTATATTCCCAGGCCACATTTCTGTTAAGAAGCACAGGTGTGTGTTGTGTGCGGGGGGGGGGGGTTTGGGGGGAGGGGGGGGAGAGACAGACAGGTCAACAGGTATGTGTGTGGTCTGAGGTGTATGTGTGTGAGAGTGGGGGGATGTGTATGTGGGGCGGGAGGGATTAAAGGTGTGTGTTGTGTGCGTAGGGAGGGGGTCACGTTACCTGGAGGAGTGGATGGTGTGGCTGAGGGTCACCACGTAACCAGCACCCCCAACATCCAAGTAGGGGCCGGTGAAGGTGATGAGAGCCGGGTTGGCCATGGCGTGCAGATACCTGGGGGAGAGAGATCAGAGCTGATAGTGTGTGGGGTCCCGAGGGTGTCTGTGTGCGGTTCACTGTCTCCCCCCAGAATCCCCCCAAAAGGGAATAAGTCCCTCCCCACTCCAGCGCAGCCCAATTGGTAACTCGGTTCATTCCCCACTCCCCCCCACCGAAGCACCCACCCACCCACCCCAGGGCCCCACTATGTCACACTCTCCGCCCTTTACACCCCTCATTCACTTAACAGCTGTTTGCGGGACGTCACTGTGGGCAAACCTGCTGCCCCTTTCACCTACCAAACACACAGTCACTACACTTTACAGTAAAATGCTGTGAAGCGCTTTGGGATGCCTCCCGATGTGAAAGGCACCATACTAAATGCAAGATCATGATTACTTCACAAGAAACCTCACATAAGTCGCATCAGTTGCGACCATACATTTAATGACTTATGCTAAAGTATGAGTTACGCCAAACTTGCACAGAATATAAACTCTCGCACGAGACTTGAGTAGATGTCCGACTTATATAGATTGGACTTATTCAAATGCTTTCATGCCCTGGCAGCTCACTACCTCTGCGACCTGCTTACTCCCCAACCCGCTCCCTCCGCTCGAATGGTTCTGGCTTCCTGCATGTCCCTCGTGCCCTCTGTTCCACCATCGATAACTGCACTTTCAGCCACTGCGCCCCGAAACTCTGGAAAACTTTTCCTCTATCCCTCCGCCTTGCCCCTTCCTTTCCTATCTTAGGGTTGCACTTGAAGGCCTTTCTCTTCGACCGTGCCTACGATCACCTCCTCCCCTCAGCTCGGCATTGTGATTCCCCCACGTCAAGCGCTTTGGGAGGCTACCCTGCATGAGGGGTGCTGTGTAAATGCAAGCTGTTGTTGTTGGGTTTCACTGTATTATGATTCCCACCGCAGGGAATGCCCACTTGCTCACCACTGCCTCCTAGTGGCATCAAAGGCCTTGTCCATGAGGGAGCCGGGGTAGATGCGGAGCACACCATTGGGCGTGGCTATGTAACGTCTGACGATGTAGCTGTTGAGTTCGCTCACTTCCATTTGAGAGATCCATTCATCCGTCACGTGGCTGGTCGCCATGACTTCACTCCTGACAGAGGACTAGAGAGAGAGAGAGAGAGAGAGAGAAATAGAGACAGAGAGGGCGAGAGCGAGACAGAGTGGTTATTATAAATTATGAAGATAGGTTGCGTGAACTTGGTTTGGAAGGTTGAGGGATTATCTAATGGTGGTGTTTAGAATTATAAAGAGATTTGATAGGGTAGATACATAGAAACTATATCCTTTGAATGGGAGAATCCAGGACAAGGGGGGGGTAGCATCTTAAAATTAGAGCCAGGCCATTTAGGAGTGAAATCAGGAGGCATTTCACGTAAAGGGGAGTGGGAATCTGGAACTCTCTCTCCCAAAAGACTGGTTGCTGGATCCATTCACATTTTCAAGACTGAGGTGGATAGGTGTTTGTTAGGTCAGGGTATCAAGTGATATGGGGCAAGGGGAAATTAGAGTTGAGGTGCAGCTCAGCGATGATCTAACAGGATGGCAGAACAGGCTTGAGGGGCTGAATGGCCTACTCCTCTCTTCCTCTGTTCCTGGAGAGAGAGCGAGAGTTGGACGGACAGAGAGTGTGATTTCCAGGCCAGGGGGCTGGGTCTCAGATCAGCTGGTTCAAGTAATGCTCTCCTCTTCGCTTAAAATCTTCACCAAACCCCCCCCCATATCACAAGCGACTGAAGTCCACCAGGTGCCTCGGTGGATGTCTAATTTACGGTATTTCTTAACTAGATTCCTTAATTCCCATCAATTCCATTCGCTCCGGTTACCATCGGCATTCAGCCTCTCTGCCCCCACCCTCGGAACTCCATCCAACAGACCTTCCGCATCACCCCCTCCCTTGCCTCCTTCAAGGGGCGTCATCTAAGACCTTCCTCTTCGACCTCGCCTTCGGCCACCCCTCTACCCCTTCCCTGCCCTCCACCCCTCTCGATCCCAACCACACACCCCCCCCCCCCCACACCTCGGGTCCAAATCCCTAACTGTCCAGTGCCTTGCAACGTCCTCCCGACATGAAAGACGCTGTGTAAATGTGATGTGTTGTTGTTGTTGCGGGAAGTGTTTTCCCCAATCAATGAGGCTGGTGTTTAGCTGAGCCCGGAGGCTGTATGCGTTTGTGTGTGTGTGTGTGTTGGGGTGGGGGGGGGGGGGGAGAGAACGGGGGTTCTACCGGAGTGCCGGCGGGGCTTACCTTGAGGCCGGGATTGGCGATGAGGCGAGTGTTGTCGCTCAGGTAAGCGGTGTAATGCTCCACCATGCGCTTGGTCTCGGCCTGGCTCAGGTGCTCGAAGGGCGAGGAGAAGCTGCCAGCGGACAGCATGACGGTTGGGCTCTCTGTGGGACAGGGGCAGCGGTTAGTTCTGATTCCCTAAAGCTCAGAGGCCATGCTCCAGGCCTTCGGACGAAAAGTTGAACTCCCAGAAGGGGGGGGGAGCCGGCGCGAGGGGGAGTGGGAAGCCCGGAGTGTAACCGGGAGCCGGCCGGTGTGACGTACCGAGCGTGGCCAGCTGTTTGAAGTGCAGGCAGGAGGAGGGTTGGCCCAGCAGGTCCAGCCTGTGGTACAGTAACTTGCTGCTCGGGGCCGTGTTGAGGTTTCTCAGATGTTTGACAGGCACCTGGGGCTGCACCACCACAATACACAGGATAAAGGACGTGTCCTGGATCTGCAGACACACACACACTGTTACTGCTGCCCGTCACTGCCGCATACACACACACACGCACAGTTACTGCTGCCCGTCACTGCTACACACACTGTGTTATTGCTGCCTGTCACTGCTACACACACACACACACACACAGCGTTACTGCCGCACAGAGACTGCAGCAAACAACCCCCCCCACACACACCACAGGCCCCCCCCCGCACCGCACGCACGCATGTCATCTCCCCTTCCACACCCACACAGAACCCCCCCCCATACACAAACGCACTACCCCGCTGGCAACCCCCCCGCCCCACCCCACACACACACACACGTACACTGACCACCCCTCATCGAGCACTGAACTCAGTCACTCACTACCTCAGTGACATGTGTGCCAAGAGAACTCCCCACCTCCCCATCAGACCAAACCCACCCCCCTCCAAACTGCCCCCTCTGCCAACCCCCCAAGCCCTTCCCCTGCTAAGCCCTCTCCCCACTCAACCCAACCCCCCACCAAACCCAACCTGCCCCTCCCGGAAACCCCACCCACCCCGCCAACTCACCTACGGTAACTCAGCATACAGTCACTTATCATCACTTTTAACTCTGTGATACAATAACTTAGTAACACAGTAACCTGATAACTTGCCCAACAGAGTAAGTGCTAATAACTAGCAGTAATATTAAATAGTAATACAATAACTTAGTAACCTGGTGATTTAGTACCAGAGTAATTTGAATTAGTAACATGCGTCCCCCCCTCCCCTCTCTCTCTCTCTCCCCAATTCCTCTCTAGCCTGCATCCTGTTCAGCACAGAACCCACCCCCCCCACCACCGGGGAGGGGGTACCTACCAGTTTCCAGGCATAGCTGACAGTGTAGGTGAGGGGGCGGGTGTCACGCAGGCGGTTGATGTGCCAAGACAGGGAAGAGTTGACGGGCACCATGATGATCTGGCTCCCCAGGGGGAGGCTGGGCAAGGACACTGGGTTAGTCACCGTGTGCCAAGAAGACGACCCCCACCCCCTCCCCACCGCCACCAAGCCCGCCCACACCAAACCCATGCCCTTCCAACGTGCCCCCTCTGCCAAACCCCCAACCCGTCGAGCCTCTCCCCTTGCCAACCCCTCTGCCCCCTCAACCCCACCACACCCAACCTGCCTCTGCTGAAACCCCCACCCATCCACTGCCCGCCAACTCGCCTCTCCAGGCGCCCCAAGCCCTCCTGCCAACCAACATACAACACGCCCCCACCACTAATCCACTGGACACCATAACCCCCTCCCCGATCCCTGAGCCTCTGGGACACCTCGCCCCGGCAAAACCACTGCCCTCCCCATTCTCCCTTCACCCCCAGCCAGGCAACGTCCCCTGCGCTCTCTCTACCTGAGGATGTTATGTCTGACGGGCTGGAACCAGGGGATGTTCTCGTAGTGAATGATGTCGGTGTGAAGCGGGGGCTCCGTCAGCAGGTAGGGCCGTGTCAGCGAAGGGTGCATCAGGGTGTAGCCTGCAACAGAGAGAGAGAGTTAGAGGACGAGGGAACCGAAGCATTGTGAAACATCTCTGGGCGATTAAACGGCACTGTGTAAATGTGTGTGGCGAAGCATTATGAAACGTCTCTGTTTGGGTTAAAGACGCTGTATATAAGGGGTGAAGCATTCTGAGATGTTTCTGGTTGAATGAGATGATGTGTGGCCCCTGGTGATAGGCCGGAGGCTGGACTGTCCCTGTGCTGTGCTGAGCAGGGCTGTTACCCTTGTTGTCGATGAGGAAGGTGTAGGAGGCAGACGAGTCCTGGTAGTACGTCACGTCCTCCAGAATGTAGGCCAGGTTGACGTCCACTCCCACGATGCCCAGCAGCATATTCCCAAAGTAGCAGGGCTTGCTGACCGTCATGATGAGACCTGCGAACAGAGGGCACCACTGGTCAACTACACACACACGCACAGCCAGGGTCGTGGGAGTGGGGGGAAGAGAATGGGACGCAATGCATAGGAGTGGGGGCGGGCGGGCGGGGGGTGTCCCCATGGTGACCGATCTCTAACAAACGTATTTGCAACCAAACTTTCAGCAATTCTCCCTCTCCCCCCCCCTCCTCAGTCCTGGATATCCATCACGGACTTCCCTCTCCATTCCCACCTTTAAAGCCTCTGACTTGTCTTGCCCTCCTCCCACCACCATCAGCTCGGGTGCCCACACAGCTCTGTGAAGCTCTCTGAGACGTCCTCCCAAGGTGAGAGCAGTGTGTCAGTGTAAATTGTGGCCACCTCAATCCCCACAGTCTAGCTATGAGGAGCCTGGTACCTGGCAGCAGGAGGGGTGAAGTAAAGAAAGTGGACCCATTCCCCCTCCTATAACTCCCCACCAACCCTCCGAGGTTCTGTGCGAACCCAAGATGGGTAAGTCAGTAGAGGGCAAAGGAGGGGTGGCAATGGGAGGGGGAGACACAGGGTTGGGGAGATATCCGCAGGGGGGGGTAGAGGGAAGAGAAGGAAGAAAGGATTGTTAGGTCAGGGTATCAAGGGATATGGGTCAAGGCCGGGTAATTGGAGTTGAGGTACAGATCACCCATGAATTTATAGAATGGTGGAACAGGCTCCAGGGGCTGGATGGCCTCCTCCTGTTTCTATGTTTCTAAGAAAGGAGGGAAGGAGGGACCCACCATCGCCCATCTCGTCAGTGTAGGGGAGGCTGAAGACGGCCTGGTCGATCATGCGGTTTGGGAGGTTGGTGTAGAAGCGGCCCACGGTGGTCTCCAGGTTGCTGAGCTGGTTCAGCACCATCATGGTTCCCTTGACGACGGGCAGCCCGATGCGGTCCGGCACCCCATACTTCCCCGCGTTCTGCTCCGCCAGGTCCCGCAGGAAGGCCAGCTCCTTCAGCCCCGTCACGCCCTCTGGACAACACAGGGTTAACGTCAGCAGCTCAGGTTACTGTCACTGTCCCTTCCCCCCCCCCCCTCTCCTTAGGCTCTCATCGAGCACTCAACTCAGTCACTTACTACCTCAGTGACAAGTGTGCCAAGAGATCTCCCCACCACACCAAACCCATCCCCCTCCAAATTGCCCCCTCTGCCAAAGCTTCTGAAAAGGCGACTAGACAGCCCCCACCACAAGCACATGTAGCCCCCTCTCTATCGCCCACCCCACTCCACCACAGCCCCCTCACATCCCCCACCTGCACCCCCACACGCATACAGCCCCCTCCAACCCATGCATAGCCCTCACCCCCACACACACATACAAAGCCCACGAGCCCCACCTACCCCCAACAGACACAAACCACTCCCCCCACACCCCCCCACTCCATGACTCACCGTTCATCAGAGCGTATGTGAGCAGCATGACGGAGTTGTTGAGCCGCCTGTTCTCCTCGCTCACGGCACTCAGTGTGGCCGCCTTCTCAGCCTCTGACCCGCCCCGAGAGGTGGTGCCCGACGACAGGTACACGATCACCATGTCTGTGGCTGTGGGCAGTGAATGGGGGGTGGGTGGGGGGGACAGGTTAGTGCCTGAGCACAGGCAAAAGCACCCTGAACCCACACTCCACCCCACCACCGCTCCTCACCCAACCTCCCCGCAGCCACTCCACTCCCTACATTGGATGCAAACAACACCCCCCAACCCTCCCCCCGCATCCCCACTGACTGCAGCAAACCCAGCCTTCACCCCCAGCTACTTCTCTCTGTGTGGCACCTCTGAAATGCCTCCCCCCCCCCCCCACCCCCACTCTGGGGCGTCAGTCTGGACTGTGAGTTCTAAATCAGTCACGTGGGGATTGAACCCACAACCTCCTGACCCACTGACTCACACCCCCATCACACTCATGGCCCGCTCTCCCCCAATGCTGACTCACGCCCCACTCCACACCCCCTCAACACTCACGGCCAGGGCTGTGGCTGCTGTTGGTGTTGTGGAGGAGGTGGAAGGCCTTGCGGAAGCCCAGTGCGTGCTGTGTGGGGCCCTCGGCAGCCTTGATGTTGCTGAGGAAGGAGCTCATCTTCCTCTTGGTCTCGCTGGTGGCCGGGGACAGCGACGACTCGTAGCACAGGTCCAGGGAGCAGGTCCTCACCGTGTCCGCCACCGCCAGCACTGAGATCTGCAGAGGACCCAGCGGCAATGGTTACTCCAGAGTCACTCTGCCTTACTCGGAAACACTGACTCCAGAGTCGCTCGTGAACAATCAGGAATATTTTTGCCCACAAATTACAGTCAATTCACTTTACAGTATATTCTGTGAAGCGCTTTGAGGCGTCTCGAAGTCGTGATAAGGCGCAGTATCAAATGCAAGGATTATTATGTTATTATTTATTTCAGAATTGCTCCGTCTCTCTCTGGAACAATGAGGAACACCGACTCCGGAGTCACTTCGCCTCACTGATGAACCATTAGGAATGCAGACACCGAAATCGTGTCTGTGTGCGTATGTGCGTTTGGGGTGGGTGGGGGTTGGGGGAAGGGAGAAATATCAGTGGTAAATGCAGGGGAGGGGAGGAGGAAGAGGAGGGGGGCTTACCTTGTCGTGCTCATCGATGGAGGTGAGGATGACCTGGGCGGCGTCCTTGGCGATCTGGAGCTGGGTGTCGGTGGCTGACGCCCCATGATCCACCATCACCACAATGTGCTTGGCCTGAGGCCGCACTGTCGAGACATAAACCGGCCTGGAACCAACACACACAGCGTGAGTATACACACACACACACACAGCGTGAGCACACACAGTGAGTACAGTCACACAGCAGGCAACACACAGTGAGCACCCCACACTGTGAGCACCCAGCAACCAACATACACCCACACAGTTAGCACACACCAACCCCTCACACACATCCACACACACACACACCACGAGCACAGAGAGAGAGTAGACAGGCGGTTTACCTGCTGCGATGCTCATAACTCGTTTTGCAGTGGAAGGTGTGAGCCGGGAATATGGTAAAGATTCCCTCCTCCGAGCTGAAATATTGCCATTTTATCCCCGCGTTGGATTTGAAGTTATCAGCGAGAACTGTGCAGGGTTTCAAACCGGAAAGAGAATGGGAATATTGGGAAATAACCAGAAGCATTTTTTTTGGTTAGCAAGAGCCAAGGCTTGGGCACCCCAGAGTGTGTATTGGACACTGTATTGGAGTGTGTATTGGACACTGCTGGATTCTAACCGGCTGAAACCACATAACAATTAAAGCACGACAAGGTACATGGGATTGTCAGAGGCCAACCAGCCAAGACAGGTGCTTCAAATGGGGTCATGGGCGCAATCACATGGTTGAGCCACTTCCAGAGGCCTGTATAGAATAATAATAATAATCCTCGCATCTGGCACAGGGTCTTTCAAGTCCAGAGGATGTCTCAAAGGGCTTCACAGCAATTAACTGTAAAGTGTAGTGACTCTGTAGGCGAACGTGGCAGCTGACAGCTGTGAGGGATTTCATCTGGGACATTTTTAATGTCCACCTGAACAGGGCACATACAGATCCTGGTTTAACATCTCATCCTCAGGTCGGCACCTCTGACAATACCCTGCACTGGAGCGTAGACGAGGCGTAGACGCGGAGCTTGGACTTTCTGACTCAAAGAGGCAAGAATGTGACTGACTGAGCCAGGCTGTGGCTGAATTTGGATGGGTGAGGGGGAGAGGGTATACATCAGTTGTCTGTGTGAGCGCGGCTGAGATTAGTGACTCACTGGGGGGGGGGGGGGCAAACGGGGTGGAGGGGGGAGATACTGACCAGTGTTCAGGTCCCGGCCGGGATTAAATGCTCGGTTATTGATGGCCGTGGAGAGACGGTCGCAGCTGATGGTTTTTGAAACATTGGTGTTGAAATTCCCATCGAACCTGCAGGGTGAGAACAAGACCAGGTTAAACACACAAAGTGTGTGTGTGTGTCGGGGGGAGGGGGAGGGGGAAGGGGCGAGGGGAAGAGAAAGCTGGGGGAGAGTGTGGGGAGAGATTTGGAACAAGTCATACAAGGGAGAGAGACCCCGTGTTCTCTTGTCACCCTGAAATATCCCCAAACATTCGGTGGGTAATCCTCCCCAGGTGTTGGACCAGAGGGTTCCACAGCCTCAGGACGTCCTCCCGACGTGAAAGGCGCTCTGTTTTGTTGACGTTGGCAAATGGGATTCCATTGTACCAATGTCTGCCATGTGTGTTGAGTGAGTTGCTGGACACTAGAGGGCGCTGGAATCACACTGAGTTTTCCTGAGCGGGGAGAGGGGAGAGGCAGGTGGGGAGAGGGGGTGCGGGGAGAGAGAGGCATGGAGAGAGAGCGAGAGGGGCGGGGAGACAGAGAGAGGCGTGGGGAGAGAGAGAAGGGGAGGGGGGAAAGAGAGAAGGGGAGGGGGGAGAGAGAGAGGGGTGGGAGAGGGAGTGGGGGGGGGGAGTGAGAGGGAGGGGAAGAAGGGGCAATAAGCCCATTCATTAACCCCCCCCCCCCACTTTGTGTCAGTGTCTGACATTGGGTGAATGCAGCACAAGGGTTGTGATATTGGAGCCAGTGATGTGCTCCCCCACCCCCCCAACTTCTCTCTCCCCCCTCACCCCCAAGTATGCGCCCCCAGATTCTCTCCCTACCCCCCAACGTTTTCTCTCCTTCCCCCCACCCACGTTTTCTCCCTTGCCTCCCCCCCAGATTCTCTCCCTAACCACCCACATTCTCTCCTTCCCCACCCACCCACGTTCTCTCCCTGCTCCCCGACCAAGTTCTCTCACTCCTCCACCCATTTTCTCTCATTCCCCACCCGCTCTCCTCTCTCTCTCTCTCCCCCCCACCCACTTTCTCTCACTCCGCACCCCGCCACCACCCCCCTCACTTTCTCTCACTCCCCCACTTTCTCTATCTTCGTCCTCTCTCTTCTTTCTCTCCCCCTACCCTGTCCGTCCGGGCTCTCACTGGGAACCCATAACCCGCATCAGTGCCAGCATCACACACGGGGGATAAATCCCACTCCCCCAACCCCCCCCATGGACACTACCATTCCTTCTACCTCCACAAAGACATCATAAGCCAGTAAATCACGCTACCCGCCACCACAGCAATGGAGCAGCCCAGGTCCGTGACAAGCCAGCTGATGAGTTTCCATGCCACATTCCTCACTTGTCAATGATCAAACGAGACACATTGAAATTCAGTTTCCAAAGAGCCGTCACATCACTGGCAGCGCATTAATGAGACTCTGATCAACACAGCCCCAGGGAGAGAGAGGGGGAGAGGATGGAGGGGGGAAGGAAAGAGAAGAAAAAGGACAGGGGGGAAAAAGAGAGGGGGAAAGAGAGAGAGAGAGAGAGAGAGAGAGGAGAAAGAAAGAGAGAGGGAGGGGAGAGGGAGAGAAAAAGAGGAAAATGAGAGAGAGGAGGGCGAGGGAGAGAAAGAAACGAGAGATAAAGATAGGAAGCAAATGACGGGTAGAGAGAGAGGTTGGGCAAATTGAAAGAATGAGCGAGCAAGCTTGAGAGAGACCGGGATCGGGAAAGAGCGAGAGGGAGAGCAAAAGGGACAGTGTGAGAAGAGTGAGAGGGGAAAAAAAGAGGTTGAGAGAATTGGAGTTGAGGTACAGATTAGCCATGAAGCAATAGAATGGTGGAACAGGTTCGAGGGGCTGAATGGCTTACTCCTTTCCTATGTGAGAGGGTGAGGAGAGAGAGAGAGTGTGAGAGAGACGGAGAGAGTGATTGCAGAGCCTCTCTGCGTGTGCTTTGATCTCTCCCTGCGGAGACGAGCTCCCTCGTGGAGCATGCGTTGGCCGCTGGCTGATTGATGTTCTGAGCGCTTTTAACTTAAGATATTAAACTCCCCCAGACCCCCGGCTGGCCTCGATTTTGCCGACGAGATGTCCGGGGGGGGAGGGGGGGGAGGGGAGAAGGGAGAGTGGGGGGGTTTGGGGGCTGAACGTACAGATGATAAAAAAAAACTTATTTTCTTGGCAACGCTTTGAATTTGACATCAAAACCGAAGCTTCCAGCAAATTCCAAGCACGCTTGAATCAGGCTGGCCTTATCATGTGAACCAGATGCTGGAGTGATGCAGAGCGAGAGAGAGAGAGAGAGAGAATTCAGACTCCACCTGAAATCACAACCAGCTCTCCTCCTTAATCAACACAGCTCCACGTCTCTCCCTGCGTTCGCTCTCAGCCCCTCATGCTCTCGCCTCTGGGTCAGGGGGGTCGTGGTTTTGAGCCCCTTCCCCCCACACCCCTTCCCTCCCAATAATAATCCTTGCACTTGATACAGTCAGTGCCTTGTCACGTCGTTAGGACGTCTCAATGCGCTTCACAGAATATGATGTAAAGTGGAGCGACTGTATATTTGCGTGTAAAATGCGGCAGTCAATTGAGCACAGGGTCCCACAGTCATGGATTGAGTATGTTTACAATATATTCGGTGAAATTAGATAGATTTCTGCTATTATCTCTGGTAATATCTCGGGATACAGTACCTAGTTTGAGACATGACATGTCAAGCAATTGCCAGGATGGTGGACGGAGAACTAGATGGACCTTGGTCTTCTTTCACCAGAAAATTCTTATGCGCTGGGCAGAGGGGGTGCCTGGGTTTGAGAGTGAAGGGGGAGCTCAGTACTTACTCCATCATGGAGGGGGGGATGGTGCAGCAATCCTGGATGGCGGTGAGGGGGGAGGTGAGGTGTGCGGTGTACGATGCCTCCACCACCTGCTTGTTGCGATTGACCACGTCCAGGTACCGGTTAAACTTCTCCCGGATCTTCTTAGCCAGCTGTGGGAGAGGGGCAGAGACAACACGTCAAACAGCGAGCAGTCACATCGTCCGTCCACACTCCCAGGTCAGGGTTAGACAGAGTAAAGCTCTCTCTACACTGTCTGGCAGCAGCGAGGCACTTTTAATCCCATCAGATCTGGGCCGAGTTCAAACCCCAGGTCCCAGAGGAGGCGTCTTGCCCACTGCAACATCCAAGCCCTGCTTATAGCTGGATGAGAAAGGTCAGTGGGAGCCGTGCCAGCACACTAATGCCATCCTCTACACTAATGGTTTACTGCTGGCCAGAATCCCATCACAGAAACACACAGATCAAAGCACAGGGCCCAGGAGATGGCACGACTTACAACAGCTAGCACAAAATAACTCGTCCAATTGATACCCCTTCAAGCGTGTCAATGCGCTCCACAATCAAGTGTAGTGCCTGTGTGATTTACAGGGGGATGTGGAGATGCTTTTGTTCCTCAATGTAAGATTCTGTACTTAAAGTGTTAAATAATATCGCAAATTAAATGTGCGATGTTTATGTATTTGAGACATAGGATCAATCTCATATGAGGGGAGCTGGTTGTGACGAGCTTCCAAGAAAGATCCTTTCTCAAGGAGGAGAAACAAAAGACTCTTTATAAACAACAAACTGTTTTCATTCCTTATCAGTCATTTTCTCGTGGAAAATTGGTCTACAGCTGGTTTAACATGGGAGAGAGAACCATCTTGCAAAAGACAATGGCGAAAGGTCAGCTCCCCAACCGTATAAACGGAGATCGATTCGGAAAGAGATTCGGAAAAAAGAACAGGAGAATGGAAGTAATCCATATCTGGATATTTGGATATCCATATCAAAATAATAATCCCTCCAAAAAACAAAATAATAATAAATTGGTCATTTTCAATCTACGACTGTTTGTGGGACATTGCTGTGCGCAATTGGCTGCCGCGTTCGCCCACAAATATACAGTCAATTCACTTTACGGTGTGTTCTGTGATGCGCTTTGGGACGTCCTCCTGACGTGAAAAGCGCTATATCAAATGCAAGGATTATTATTATAATAATACCTTGATACTTTCGGGTGATTGAAAACAACAATACTTGGGATACCTTTTGATGGACAGATATATTTGGATTAAAATGGACATTAACCTGGACATTGCTCCACTATCTCTTCCACAGCATTTGGTTAGATCAACTTAAATCGTTGTGAACTGTACATGGATACGTAAGCATTATCGTGATGTATTCCTTTAATTACTATTACTAATTTGAATTAATAAACATCCATATTTTTGTACAGCACCTTGTGTCAGTCCTTACTTCACCGCAGGGTCATGAATTTGAGTTAACCCTTACACAATCCCTTTAAATAAATAATAATTTGGTCGCTCAATCCACAACTGTTTGTGGGACACTGCCGTGCCGCCCACAAAATATTCAGTCACTAAACTTCAGGCCCTATGTCAAATGCAATGATTATTACTCTCCCTCCCCCACCCCCCCACACTCTCTCCCCCCACCATCACACACGCGCTCTTTCCCCACCACCCACACAAATTGAATTCCACTTGTCTATGCAATGCCAAAATTAAAACTGGGAAGATTTAATTTTAAAAATACCCCCCGTCACCAGCCCCCCTTAGAATGTTCCTGGGAGCAGAGACTGAAGGACACCTGCTTCCCCCCCACCCTACACCCCCACCCCCAACTCTCATACTGCCTGGGCCAACAGCCAACTCTATCTCTACCCACCTGTCACTCGCCAGCCTGCTCAATCCACCCGCGTCCCCGTCCCCCCCACCACCGCTCAGGAAGTGCACGTGCTTTTGACCGCCCTTCACACAGTGATGGAGGGGGGGGGGGGGAGCAGGGGGAGAGATATTGTCAGGCCACCAGAGAGAGAAACTCCCTTCTCTTTTCCAATAGATACAGGATCTTTAACGTCCGCCTGAACAGGGCACAGGCAGGACCTCGGTATGAACGTCCCGCCTGAAGGACGGCGTCTCAGAAAATGTGGTGCTTCTCCCCACCCCCCACCACCCTTCCCCCCCCCCTGCTGGAGCGGCAACCTGTAGCAAACACTCAAACCCAAGAATCCAGTGTGAGATCCCGAAGTTTGCATCAGTTTCCGGCACGCTCTTCCCTTCTCTCCCCCCCCCCCCCCCACTCTCCTCCTCCCCCCTCCCCCCTCTGCACATTGCACATCACATCCTTCACATCTGCATGGGATTACCCAGCATAGACTGCCACTGGCTGGCTTCACAATGTGACAGCCTCTCTCGTCTCAGGTTACTGTCCGAGGCTGTGCTGTACAGCACCGTAACCGAGTCCCTCACACCCACCCAGACATTCCTCACTCCCCCAAGCCAGGCAGCCCCAATCCTCCAATGTGGAGGGGGGCAGGGCGGCCGGGGGTGGGGTGGGGGGGGGGTGGTAAAACGAAGATGAAGGGCAGCTATTGATTTCAATAAATAAATAAGAATAAATGGTGTGGGTTAGAGACAGAGTAAAGTTCCCTCTACACTGTCCGCCCACACTCCTAGGTCAGGGACAGAGTAAAGCTCCCTCTACACTGTGCCTCTAGTAATGGTTCAACTCATTAGATCTCATCCTTCTCGTGTCCTGCCTCTTGAACCCTTCCTGGTAACCCTGTTCATTGATACCCCCCACCTCCACCCCCAACCCTCTCTCACTCTCAGCCTCAGGTTCTGATGGGACGTCCCACCAGGCTAAACGAGCAGTTAGTTTAGACCCAAACGGTCATTGTCCCTTGTTGTCCCCAACACAATCATCACACAGCACTCACCTGCTGTACCTCACTCTCCCCATTGGAAACCTTCTCTGCGTAGACAAAAGACTTGTAGATTGCCTGTGTGTGAGAGAGAGAGAGAGACAGAGAGAGAGAGAGTGTGAGGAGGCGTGTCAGTGAGATGCCAGGCCCAGGGAGCGCGTCCTTCAAACATTTTATAATACATTGGTGGCCATTGAACCTTCTGGAATACTGGAGTTGCACAGCAAAACCTCCGCCATTAAAAGTGTGGGAGTATTCTAGAATAAAGGGCAGTTATCCAACGGTGGTAATAATCCGTGAGTTTGTGTACAATGTCTGATCACATCATCAAAACCGTCAAAGCGCTTCACAGGATTCACTATAAAGTGTAGTGACTGCATGGAAGTCAAACGCAGCAGCCAAATTGCGCACAGCAATATCCCAACATGTCTACACTTTCCATCCACACTCCCAGGTCAGGGTTAGAGACATAGTAAAGCTCCCTCTACATTGTCCGACCACACTCCCAGGTCCGAGATAGCCGTGAAGAAAATGAGCCATTTTATCTGGGGAGGATTGTCGGCCAGGTCACAGGGAGAGAAAGAGAGAGAAACTCTTTTCGAACAGCTTAAACTGTGGTCTCGTCTGTGCCCCGTTCAGGCGGCTGTTAAAGATCTCCCATGGTACTGGCGGAGCAGAGGAGAGTTCTCCTGGTGCTTGTCTGATTGTTTGGGGGATGTTATTGTGTGCACATTCGCTGCCACGTTCGCCTACATAGACAGACTTCTTCGGAGCTCGCTCACACTTGTGAAAGACTTGGAGCTGTGCTCAAAACGGAACATTCTCGAATGAGTGTGTGTGTGTGTGTGTGATAGAGAGTGAACGTGTGAGTGTGCAAGAGCGTATGTGCGAGTAAATAGGAGTGGGGAAGAATGGTTTTGCATTCTGGCCTCTTGAGTCAGAAGGTTGTGGGTTCAAACCCCACATCTGGAATCTTACTGATGCTCCAATGCAGCGCAGCGCTTTGCCCTCTCCCACCACTATCCACACACACCAGAGGGTGGTCAGGGTGAGTCCAGATCTGTGATGCACTCACACTTCCACCCTCCCCACCCACACGCACATGTGCATACACACACCCCGTGTCCTCAAGCGAATCAACTTCTTCCATTGACATAGCGTCCCTCATGCAGGTTAGTGTCCAGTGTGTGTGCGTGGGTGTGTGTGAGCGCACGCATGGGGAGCGTAAAAAAAACCACAAGAGCTTTGCCCGAAAAAAAACAGAAAAACAAGTTTGTTCCCGAAACGCAGCAGCTTCTATAAAAGCATCTTCAAAGCCCGAGGAGGGGCCGGGAACTAGAGGGACTGACGACGGCACATTATTCAATGGCTTCCATATGTCACAGGGTCTGGTGAGCAGGGTTTCAGCCCCACAGCACCCCATGGCACCACACGGTACAACAACAACCACAGCTTGTGGAGTCCATCCGGTAGCTTAACAGTCAGCACTCGCAAGCAAGAGGACCTGGGTTCGATTCCCCGGGCGGGTTGGGGCAAGTTTCCTTACTCCACACGCTTCTGTTTACCAAGCAGCAAGTAAGGAACCCGGTCGTTAGTCGATTTCTGGATCCCTTTCTAGGGGAAATGCTAATTTCTCCCCCCCCCCAAAAAAAACATTGGTCAAAAAATTGGTCACTCAATCCACGACTGTTCGTGGGACACCGCTGTGCGCAATTCGCTGCCGTGTTTCGCCCGCAAATACACAGTCAATTCACTTTATAGTATATTCGTTGAAGGGCTTTGAGACGTCTCAATGATGTGGATAAGGCGCTGTATCAAATGCAAGGATTATTATGATTATTATTACTTCCGTTTATATAGCTGCCGTCACGTTAGATGGTGTCTGGTGGAGCGCTATGCACACAGGACGTCACAAACACACACCTGCACAAACAGCCTCGCACTCAATCAGTCCCTCAACGTGAGATGAGTGCTGTGCACACAGAAGCCACCAACACACACACACACACAGCCTGACCCTCACACTCACTCAGTGCGAGCTACGAGCTGTGTGAGCCAGTGCTGCACCAACACACGCTTGCACAAATAGTCACTCACACTCACTCAGTCACTTAGTGTGAGCCTCAGTGCTGCATCAACACACACACACACCCCCCCCCCCCCCCCCACCACACACACACACGCACACCTCTGTACGAACAGTCTGACCCTCACACTCACTCACTCAGTGGGAGCTGAGCGCTGGAGGAGCCAGTTCTGCCGGCCAGATTTAATCTTAAAAAGCTCAGCGAGAGGTCTGCATTCCTGAGGTTTCCAATAAACCCAGGCAGCAGCCTCGTCGCAACCACTTCAAGAAACCCCTCCTGCCCTCCCTGCCCACGCGACTCCACCACTCTCAGCCTCCACAACCAAACTCACGTTGCCAAAGCTCTCAACAAAGAGTGCGTGAGAGTGAGAGCCAAAGTGCTGACGCCAAACACAACCCCACGTGAGCTGAGTGACAGGACATCAACAACAATCTGCGTTTATATCGCGCCCCTCACGCGGGGTAGGGTCCCACGGCGCTTGACAGTGGCGGAGCACGACTCCGAGTCGGGGAGAGGGAGCGGGGAGGTGACCGTAGGCACGGTCGAAGAGGAAGGACGTCGGGGACACTGCCTGGACAGCTCGTCTTGCACACGACCGACCATAATAATTAACGGCACAGGTTTTTATATTACATTATAGTGAACAGAGAACAACCCCCCACCCCCTCTCCACACACACACACACACACGCACAATTTACTAAACCACACCATAACCTTTAGCATCGACCTGAAACAGACAGGGAGCTTGGTTTAATGTCTCATCCAAAGGACGGCACCCCCAACAATGCAGTGCCCCCCCCCACCTCCCCTCGTCCCAGCGTGAGCTCAGAGCCCCCAACGTATAATAATAATAACAATAATAATCCTTGCATTTGACATAGCGCCTTGTCACGTCGTTGAGACGTCTCAAAACACCTCCTGCACTGTAAAGCGGAGTTGACTGTGTATTTTGTGGGTAAACAATGTAGGGGGCCTGGAAGACCCCACCTCCTGACCCTGAGACTCATTCTCTGGCCCAATCGCTTCAGCTTCCCCCAGGAACACTGCAGAGCAGAATTCCACCGCGCGCCTGCTTCCCATTACCCACACAGAGCAGCGCAGAGCATTCCAGACACCACACACCACTCACTGCCTGACTCTGGCAGCAGAACTCTCGCTCCAGGCACGGGTGGGGGGTGGGTGGGGGGGGTGTGTGGGGGAGAGAGAGGGAGGGGGGGAGAGAGGAGCTCCGTACTGTCAAAGAGGAACGTCTTTAGGCGCGATCGGAAGATGGGGCAGGAAGTTCGGGTGGACTTGAAAGATCCAAGCGATGCGCTCTCCCCCCCGGTGTCCCGGCTGACAATCCGCCACCCCCCCCCCACCCACCCCCGCCCCCCCACCCACACGCCCCGGGTAAAATCGCTTGCTCACCTCAGGCTATGCTTCCTATCAAAGCACCTCCCTCCCCGCTACCTTTATCTGTTGTTGAGACGTCTCTAAGCGCTTCACACCTCTTCACAGTAAAGGGAAGTGACTTGTGTTTTGTAGGCGAACACAACAGCCAATGTTCACACAATAACATGCTGCAACCGTCGAGATGTGAGCAAGCGATTTTATCTGGGGGATTGTCGGCCGGGACAGAGAGGGAAACACTCTCACCGGTTCCCTACAGCACTGCAATATCTTTAACGCCCCTGAAGAGACGGTGGAGTGACGTTTCACGTCTCGTCCAAATGACGATGCCTCCAACAATGCGGTGTTCCCCCCAGCACTGCATCGGGATCATCAGCCTAGACTGTGAGCTCAGAGTGTCCTGATGTGGGGCTCGACCCCACAATCTTCTGACTCAAGCGTGAGGCGAAAGTGTGAGCGGCAGAGTCCCAGGATGACGCTTTCAGGGTCATGCAATCACACACCGCAAGGAATTTTCCCCCTTTCTCCCTGGGATTAACGGATTACTTTCGTGATTTACTACAGTTTTCCATTCGGTATTCCCGATACATGCCTGTCGTTGTTTTCAACTTGACCCGAGCACTGAAATCCCAAAGGATTATCAGTGAGCAATAGCTGGGGGGGGGGAGAAGAGCTTGATCAACACATTACTTAGAACAGTTAAATATAAAAATACATCCTTGGGTTCCATATAGGGCCTTATCACTTCGTTGAGACATATAATAGCGCTTCACAAAATATACCGTACAGTGAATTGAAAGTATATTTTGTGCACAGCAGTGTCCGTAGATTGAGACAGAAAGCAATAGAAGGGTACGTGAGGGAGCAATGAGCAGGTGGGACTCATGTGTAGTATAAACACTGGCATTGGACTGGTGGGACGATTTTTCGTGGTGGCCCAGACACAATGTGCCCAATGGCCTTTTGTTAGCGCTGAAGGTTTCTGGGTTACTAACTTATTACTAACACACAAGCTAATCATTAACAAAGCCAGGGAGTGTGAAGAGTGCTCCTGGAACTCACCTACAGATGGCTGGCTGATAAGTGGAGACACACCCACCAACCTCCAGCTCCATCCCTCACAAACAACTGAGTCAGTCCACCTTAGAGATCCCGCTGCGCTCTCTCTCTCTCTCTCTCTCTCTCCCTTTCCGCAGTGCCGACAATGCCCCCCAGATAAAATTGGTCACTCATTTCACGGCTGTTTGCGGGAACGTCGCTGTGTGCAAAATGGATGCTCGCAAAGAAAATCACTGCATTCATTGCAACAATAACCCCTGTGTCTTATCAGGTCAAAAATGTCCCTAAGTTCTTCACAGGATTCGCTGTAAAGCGTAGTGACTGTCTATTCTGTTGAGGACCGCACCATCAATGTCCCAAAAAGAGCCACAAAGTGAGTCAAAATTTTCGGCCAGGAAACTGAGAGAGAGGAACTCGCTTCCCTTTTCGAATTGTGCCGTGAGAGCTTTACAGACAGGACTTCGGTTTAACACGTGATGGCAGCTCCGACAGTGCGGATCTCCCCCCAGCCCTACACTGGAGCGTCAACCTCGGCTGTGAGCTCAAAGTTCTTGGCCGAATGAGCCAGACCCTCGACCCTTGTCAGGAATTCCAGCATTGAGTAACATTGAGAGAATCCGCAAATCAGATGCGATGTGAAAAATAAGAAAAGCGCTATATCCAATGCGAGGATTATTATTATATTATTATTATTATTATTTTCTTTAGAGAGAGAGGGAGAGAGGTGAAAGGTAGAGCGCTCCTGACAGTGGGAGAGAGCGAGAGAGAGAGAGAGAGAGGGGGGGGAATCCTCTCCAGGTGTTAGTGAGAGCCGCACCTCACTCTGCGCAGACCGGGGGGGTGTGGGTCCCGGGCTCACTCCCCCCCGCAGTCTGAGCGGACAGTTTGCGGGCTGGAGGCAGCCAGAGACCCCCTGGGGCGTCCCCTTGCGGTCGACCGGGCGGTTGGCATTGGGGCCGTGCGAAACAGCCGGGTTTGCGGCTCCAGATGTGAGCAAAACCACCCCCTCCGCCCCAATGGCTTAGCCCAGACCTCTGGCTGTTTGGATGGAGAAACCGTCTGCAGTCACACAGTCACTACACTTCACAGTCACTACACTCCTGCGTCCTGCGCCGCGCTTTTCCCGACTGCCAGGATTACTGTTATCGCTAATAATAATAATAATAATAATAGTAATGATAGATATAATAATATTCCTCGTGTCCTATGTAGCTGTTCCGAGATGCCGGAAGGTCAATGCGAGCGGTTGTTGTTGTTGTTGTGTCGTCGTCGTCGTACACCGCGTAGTGCAGCGACCGCACGTTTCGTTTCGTGGGCCAAACGCGGGGCGGGCGATCGCGGGATTCAGTCGCCAAATTTTTTATAAGGGACTAATTTATTAACACACCCTCTCCCCCCCCCCCACTCCTCCCCCCCCGCCCCCCCCCCGCAACCCCACCACTCCGGAAAAGTGATCCTCCAAACCACCCGGTGTTCCTACTTACTGCCGGGTAAACAGAGGCGTGTGGAGTAAGGAAACTTGCGGGAATCATCGAACCCGGGTCCTCTCGCTTGCGAGGCGAGTGCTCTAACCACTAAACTCCCGAGACTCCGGCGTATATATATATATATATTTAGATATATATTTTGTACATTCACCTACAAGCACACAGTCACTACACTTCACAGTGAATCCGGCGACGCACTTCGCGATCACCCAATGAGAGGCGCTGCACCGAACGCAAGGACTATTGGTAAATTCTTTTCTCTATTTTTTTTTTAAATTGTCATTTATTGTGATCGATAAAACGCAACCACTCTCCCGCGCTCCTCACCGCCCCATCCGCTGCGCAAACAAACCCCTTTTTGTTTTACTGCCCCCTTTTTTTGGGGGGGACGCCGTAAGCAAAATAAAAAAAACTTCAGATAACTTGTTTTGTGCGTGTGAGGGAGGGGAGGGGAGGGGGGTGGGAGGGGAGGGGAGGCGAGGAGGGAGTTTCTTTTATTGTAATTTTAGGAATGTGATTTTTTTTAAAAAAAAGTGTGACAGAACTTGCCTGAGGTCTGGCCCTGCCCGGGGATCAAACCCAGGTCCTCTCGCTCTAACCGCCCCTGCACACCCCCCCCCACCCCGCCCCTGCACCCCCACCACCCCACCACCCCACCACCACCATATGGTTACGATAGCACCACTCAAAATAAGCAGAGGAACTTCCATCCAGTCTCACGTCACCGAACAAAGAGCGGAAAATTATTATTATCAATTGTAACTCCGAACCTCGAGGGAATATTTTATTTTATACACCACCACGAGGGACAGAGGCAGAGACTCTATCCACCCGACCCACCCACTCACCCACCCACCCACCCACTCACACACACACCCACTCACCCACCCACCCACTCACCCACCCACTCACACACCCACCCACCCACCCACTCACCCACCCACCCACCCACTCACACACCCACCACCCACCACCCACCACACTCACCACCCACCCACTCACCCACCCACTCACCCACCCACTCACACACCCACCCACTCACACACCCCACTCGTGTAACTAAACAACGGTGCCATCACTGGGCCAGTGACGGGGATGGTGGTGGTGGTGGTGGTGCGGGTGCGGGTGGGGGGGAATGTCATGGTTAAAATCCCGGGAGTGGACAGGGCCTCACAGCCGCTGCTGGTTCTCCTTTCCTTCGGAAGTTTCCGCAGAGTCCGATGTTGGTGCTCAGCTATTTTCCAGCTCAGTGGAGTCCAGCTTTGAAGTCCAGGCCACCAAACCGTCCACCTCCCTCTCCCACTCCTCGGCCTCATCCTCCCGGCTCGCTTCTGACCGGACTGATACCTGTGTGGGCACC